GAAGAATTCGGGTTAGATAGCTCCGGGGTTTTGGACTGTTAGCGGTGGGATTAATTTTCTGTCTATACATACCTGTTAATTTTATAGAATGGATTTTTAACGTTTTTAGCAGGTTTTGTTTGCTGGAAAGTAATAAGGAAATTTTTAAATTCAAAATCCTTTTCAAAAATTTTAAATTTTGCGGCCGTTTTTCCTATATCCCCGGCGGAAAGTCAAAAATTTTGGGCAATTTCTCAAGCTGTCATTTGCACCTTTATCTATCATCTTTTTATCTTTAAAACCAGTACATCCTACTATCCTACTATATATAAAAAAATAGTGTCTGTGTGTGTGTGTATATTTGCATGCAACTTCCGTAAGTATGTACCGCACCTACAGCCTCAGGGGAAGGTTTTTAGGGTATGTGTGATACGTCATTAGATGCGTAATGGTCCCGAGTAGGGTGTACACATATAAAATTTAAGAAAATCGGGTGTTTTCGCTATTAAAATTGCGTTTTTGTAAAGATATCGAGAAACCTCTTTGTTAGGAGGTGATTAGCATTGACCGGAAGTGCCCGTTGCCTATAAAAAGGGAGGGAGGGTGCGCTTTTCATTTTTTTGGTGATCGGCATTCGGCAAGCCCTATGTAAAGTAAAATTATCAGAAGTCCTAGACGGGACCAGGGTTGAAAAGCCGCGAAGCGGTTTTTCAACCCTGGTATTTCTATAAACATGGTTATTCGCTATAAAAAAAAAACAAAAATTTGGTTTCCCGCTGCTAAAAATCCCCCCGCTAACACACCAATACCCATCGCTCTTCGGGAAAGGCGACAAACAGCCGAAAAGGGTAAGAATTTCTCAAAATCCTCAAAAAAATAGGGTAAGAAAACGAGACTCCGGACTACATAACATTTTTTTAAAACGAACGAACCTGCTGCGGGAGATGGTTAGCAAAATCGGGGTCATTTCGAAAGGCCTGGGCGTCGATGATGCGCACCGGGCCGTACGATGTTGGATACTGGGCCACCGAGGGACGCATCTAAAAATTTGGCATAAAAACGTCTTTAAACAGCGGGAGCTAACCCGATAAATCCTGTGGCTTTTCCCTCAGACGCATTCGTGTCGTGTCATATTCGACAGCGCATCCGGGGCTTCCTGCAAGAAAGGTGGGTTAGATGGTAGCGAGAAATATCAATCAAAACAAATGAAAACCAACAAAAACAAATAATAGAAAAGTTATAATTCGCAAATATTGGACCTTTCGCATTATCGGGGGGGGGCAATTTTTTGCCAATAAGCAGAATGCATAATAACCCCCTACTAACCAAAAACGCGGAAATTTTTTCAATAGGGGTGAAAACGGGCCATTTTTCGTCAAAAAAAATCTATTTTTTTTTGCGTTTTTTGACTAAAAAATTTTTCAGGTTGTTACGTCTATAAATAGTAAAAAAAAACAATTTCGAAACACGTCCTTTTTATTTGGATCAAAATATTCCCAAACATGGATAGAAAAAAGTTGCCCCCCCCCGATAATGTGCAAGAACCCAAAAATCCGTGTTTGCGAGGGGAAAAATCTGAAGGTTTAATTTAAAGGGGGATGACAGTTAACTAGCCCAAAACTAGCCAAAAAGCTCCATAATGCGCCTTGAAACGGCGCACCCTGCTCGCTTCTCAGTCCCTTAAAAGCTCGAGCTATACGGTGATGCGGCGAGAGTTTAGGGCGCATGGATGAAGCCTAGTGAGAGAGAGAGAGAGAGAGAGAGAGAGAGAGAGATGTGCCCTGGAGCTACGGCCGACTCCTCCGTGTGCTGCACACCGGAATGCGGCGGATTTGGTGGGGAGGGGGGCTGAGGGCGAGCGGGGCCAACTCAAACAGGGCCGACAGCCGATCGGACAGGACATTCTGCTCAAACACTGACCACATCCCTCCCACATCCACTATGAAGCTTTGCATGTGACCCTCGTGGGCTCCGGGAGATTATACTAATCCACACACCCGGCTTTCCAAGCGGCTTTTGACCTCGCCGGGAAACTGGTACCCCAAAACCTGATAAACCGTGACAACCGGAAATGGAGATCGGGCGCGCCTATTGCCGCAAAACTGGCCGGGTTAGCATAAGTGGCAAATGGTAGCTGACGCCTAAACAAGGGTTGGGCTTATGGCTAGAGTTCTAACCAAAAGATACAAAATCCGGTTCTGGACTGTTAGGGGGGGGGGGATAATTTTTACCTAACGCCCACCGAGAATCCCAATAACGAAATTCACATAATTTATTTAGGTTTTAGCGCGTTTTTCATTAGAAAAAACTAAAAAATTATGAAAATATTCTAAATAGGCCTTCTTTTTTCAAAATCCCAAATTTTTATCAATTTTTAATAATGAAAGGCTCTTAAATGCCGTAAGTTTATAGTCATACGACTAAAACCACAAATTATGGATACCAATACCAATAATGGGAAATTTTTTATGGATTTTGACTAATGAAGAACTACTGAAAACTGGAAAAATACGATAAATGCGGTTTTTTCGCATTATCGGGGGGGCATTACAATATCATTCTTTTGACGACAAATGGGGATCTTCGAGCAAAATCCCCCCCCCCGATAATGCGAAAGAACCTCAAATGCTAGCATGTTTTGCAAGGTAGGTATAGGTTAGATAGCCCCCCCGCTAACATTCCAGTACCAGAACTACCCGGAACAATGTTAAAAATAAATTTTTGCAATTGCTACAAATCCTAGACAAAAACCCATAAAAAACCCAATTTCCATAAAACCAAAACCAAAAAGTCAATAGCTACCCACAATCGGAATCGAGCTAAAAAAAGTAAAGAATAATCGCCCAGTCCCACCGGGAGGCACCGGTGCGTGGCTAATGGATTTGGTGCTGGGTTAGGGAGAGCGATTATCTCGGCTGATCACCGACACTGATTGCTGGATTATTGACCTTTCCCCCTTTTCACAAGTATTTCCCCTAGCCCTTTATCCCATCAATAATAGCTTCCGGCGCCGTTTAGAAATTCGCCGGGCTTCGAAAGTACGGTTCTGGCGGCGGGGGGGGGGGGTGGCCCGGGGCTAATTTTTTCCATCAATTCTCTGACGGCGCTATAACAAATATAAACCATTTTTATAGTATTTTACATAGTTTTAGATATAAAAACACAAAAAAATTCGAAGATTTTTGAATTTTTCATCAAAAATGTGTGAAAAATGACCGAAAAAGGTAGAAATTTCCAATTTTCAAAACTTCCTAAAAGTTTTTATAACTTTCTAGTCATCAAAAACTACTAAAAACACGATAAATTACATTATCTATAATAAAAAGGTAGGGATAGGTGGAAAAACAAAAAAAGCCCCCCGCTAACAGGCCAGAACCGAACAATGCAAAGCAAACAGGAAAGTCGGCGCGTCCTCATCCATCGCTTATTGATACGGGTGTCAAGAATGCGGCGAGCCCTCTGGGGATGGCTGCAGGAATCCGGGTTTACAACCTCGGCGCCAAGAGGGCGCTGCGAGGGATAAACGGCGAATAAAATCCCGAAACGGACGACGAATAGGGCGGAGGGGGGGGGTAAGGGTTGGAAACGGGTCGAGTGGCCTCCACCCAAGCCCGATTCACACTTCATTGTGCCCAAAAAGAGCACCGGGATACAGTTGAGCAACAGATGGGCAAATTGTTTGGCGGTACCGATTCTAGGGATAGTAACTGGACTTGAAACTGGCTTTTCAAAATACGACGTCGAAATTCATAATTTTTAAACATTTTATGCCGAGATTTTAGAATTCCAAAATGTCGAAACTCAGAATGTCGAATTTTCATGTCGAACGTCGAAACGTCGAAATTCATGACGCCAAAATTGCGCAGGTGAAATTGCATACTTTCGAACTGTCTAATGCTAAATGTTTTTATTTTGGGGAGTTGTTTGTGCTAAGCTTCGGCATATTGAAATTTCGACGCCCTGAAAATTCGGGGTTATGAATTACTACATTATGATAGCAAAACCTTCAATCCAAGTACACCATGCCAAAAATTAGAATAATTTGTCGGAGTTTGGAGAAAACTACTACATAAAAAGGATCCGTTCGCCAGAAAATTCAGTGAATCCAGAAAGTGTAAATATTGATCCCAGGTATAAGAAAGGTGACGAGTGACTGGACAGGTGGAATGGGTAATGGTGCTTCCGGAGGACATGCACGCGGTTTTCCAGTCCCCTCTTTGCCTCTCACGAAAGCCGTTGCAAATTGCGGCTGACCCCTGCAGGGCGAGTCAATGGAGCAGCCTATCCACCCCCTCCTGAATAGCCAGCCGCCGAAGAAACCTTGATGTAACGAAAAGAGTAGCTTGAAACGACTCTAAATGCGAACGCCATGTCTTTCGAAAGGCAGAAGTTAAATTTTCTATGAAACAACCCTAGAACTGTCTAGGTAGAATGAAAAGAGCTCGGAAAATCCGAACGAAATAAAAGAACAAGTCGAGAAATAGTGAGCCTTGTGAGTAAGTGACCTTCCCGAGCAGGGCCGCAAGACCCACCAATAATCCGGTGAAACAGTCACGAACGGTAGCACTCGCAGCCAGGCTGGTTGGAAGTGTGGCGAAGTAGCCGGGGGATTTGGGGCTGTGAGAGGGGGGACAAGACCAGTGCAAATAGCCACACGCTGACAAGTTGACCCCTCGTGTGCTGCTTCCCCCTAAAGGCTGCAAATCCAACGAAATTTGTCGAGTCCTTGGCTTTCTAGTCTGCATGACCAAAGCTCTTTGCGAATCAAAAAGCGGCTCTCATTAGGTCTGCAATATGAACCACCTGGGCCATCTCACGTCATCTTCTGTCGCCAACTCCTACAAAGCATAAAAAATTTATTCACGCACAAGAGACACGTTAAAGTTTCACTTAAATCGGTAACTAAACATGGCTGCGAGAAAGCGGGCAGTAAATTGGAAAATTGACAACATTGCGATACAGCCAAATGCAAAATTATAAAAGTGCATGCGAGAAAGGTTATCGTGGTAGCATGGAGCTCACGCATAATGCTGAAGGTTGCGCTGATCGTCGACAGCTGCCAAAATAAAATTAATAGAGCCATCTTCACAGAATTACCTTGGTGATTCACGATGAAGACATTGAGTATGGCAGTCATTTCGCGGCCCTCCCATCGATAAGTTATCGTCTGGTCTCGTCCGGCCTCCCAGTAGGTGACGGTCGACACACCAAGCCCAGAATCGCCGCCGCTCAGACGAAACATGGCCGACGTGATGATGTACTTGTAATTTGGATTCTTCTCGACCAGGATGGCGGTAACATCTAAATCACAGCGTTATCACAAAAGTCATCTTTACCTTCAACGCACTTCTTGTTGATCTGAGTAGATTCTTCAAAAGAGTAGGGCTTGGTGGCGGCGGCGCGGTGGTAGACTTCTTGGATTACGGCGACGATCTCCTCTCTTGTCGGCATTTTCGAAGCAGTCGCGGAGCCGTCCCCGTTATGCATGGCACTTATTCTGAAAAAAATTAGATTGTAAAACGTCCGACAAAATGTGGCAACAAAAAAACCGACTGTCGAATTATAGGACTGGAATTCAAAGCCATCAAAGAGGAAAAGTAAAGAACCTCGGAAAACTAAATTAGTCCCGCCACGCTTGATTGAAATTCCACTTGGTCCACCAAATAGAAATGCAGGAATACGGTAGAAAATGCTACGCGACAGGTCAAATTACGGATCGAAACGACAAACTATAGATACCTTCACGAGAAGTTCTTCTTTCGGTTTTCATTTTTCCGTTATGGTTGCGAAACTTTGCCTCATTGGTTCACTTTTGATTTTCCCTATATCTTTTTGAAAATTTCCTTTCTAATTCTGAAATTGCAGATTGTGTGACAATGGGCATGAGCAAGAAGTGCACTGCTGTTGATTCGCTCTCCGATGCTTCTTCTACATCTTCTCGCGGTTCGTCGATTTATCTGTTCATGTACACTTTTATTTCTAGGCAGCAAAGTCGCCGACGGTCCCAGCAAGAAGCCGGCGACGATTGAAATGAGTGAAGAGCGCAAAGGTGGTGAAGAGTATTCGGATCGCCGTCTCTTCATTTCAAACTTCCCGTTCTCGTGGCATGAGGATGATCTTCGTGCCTTCCTTGAGGAGTACGTTTCTTTTCTTGACATGGATTAAATTGTTATTTTAGTTATGGTCCGGTGATGGAAGTCAACATTGTCTACAATGAGCGCGGCAGCAAGGGATTTGGCTTCGCTACCATCGACGACCCTGATCGCTGCTACCGTGCCCGCATGGAGCTAAACCACACGGTTGTGCAAGGACGCCGGGTTGAAGTTCGCAAGGCGCACAAGCAGAAACGGCGCCCAATGCAGCCCCCTACAAGCAACCTCTTCGACATGCGGCTTTACCAGTCTATGCAGAGTAAGCTTTTCACCCGATTCATTTACGGTTCTCTAGGTCTTGCGAAAAACCCACTTCTTCCCCAGCTGCAGTTGCTAAATCTGCTTTCCAACCCAGATGTGCTTGACCGTCTGCAAGGCGTCGCCGCTCAGAACAACATTGGTTACCAAGCCCCTTATTCCCCGGCCAACGCGGCTTCGTGCATCAACTTGAACGAGCTCGCCAACACTGGCCTCCAGCAGGATTGTGCCAATAATCGTGGTCATGGCTCCGCTTTCTTCTCCGCTGCTAATGTGGCTCACAAAGAGGTGAATCCAATTGTTTAACTTAATCCTGTGTTTAGGGAAACGGGCTCATGGATGTGCACACGTATTACGGACGCCAGAGCGGCGCGTCTCCTTTGACGCCGCCTCCTAGCGGCTCGGTCTACGGCAATCTCTTCGCAAATCCTTTCAACAACGCCATGGGAAGTACCGACAATTTTCCGGTATTTTTCCGCGCCATTTTTTAACAAAAAAGGTTTGTAGGATCAACCGCTGCAGCCCGGCTACCTGCAAAACTATGGTCGTCCGGGACAGGATCTGAGGAAGATTTGGTGCGACCCATCGGCCGCCGCCTTGAGGCCCCTTGATGGTTTCGATCGGTCTTATTCGGTATAGCATCTATAAAGGGATACCTAGTGTGATTTAGATGGGCGATCTCGGCAAGCGCTTCTCATCCCTCTGAAGCACCTACTCGATGCATCAAATAAAACTATGTATATTGCGCATGTTGACTATTTTGTCTAGCCCGTTAGCCTATCTGCACTTGGTGCCTTATTATTTTCCTGTCTTTGCACCTTCGTGTTTGACACGATTCGATGGTTGTTTGCTTTTTGTGAGTGCAATACATATTCGTCTCAAATTTCTGTGACAATGGAGAGTTTATGCTTCAAACAATACAGGTCGACTTAGCTGAGATGACACACGCAATAAAATTTATGCGCGCGCGTTCAAACCTCGAATTGCCAGAGAAAGAATGGCCCAATGTGGAAAGACGGCCCAAGTTATCTGCAATACGCGCTAAGAAAATCTGAAAAGGATAGTTTAGGCGAATGTTATGTGCGAGCTATTCGAATTCCCGAGCTGGGTACCGGGACCTATTCAAGCAGGCTACAAGACAAAGGGCATAGGTGGATTGTTCCGCTGGCAACTGGAAGTTTTGGAAGGTGCGTGTTTTCTTCGATTTCCGTCGAGATTTGTAGGCGCCCTTACAACCACTGATAATGTATTATATGCTGCTCCCACCAGCGCTGGCAAAAGTTTGGTGGCAGAACTTCTGTGTCTTCGTGCTGCCATGGCTGACCAAAAGGTAAGTCAATTCTAGAACAGTTGGATGTTTGTTTTAGTCTTTCTTCGTCCTCCCATACGTTTCTGTTGTGCGAGAAAAATCAAATCATATGAAGGTTTGGGTTTGCTCGGGATACATAGTTTGTAGAATCTTTGGAGAAACCTGGACTATGAGGTGGCTGGCTTCGTCGGTGGACATCAGCCAGTGGATAATGAATGGAAGGTGGGGACTAGTTTATCAGGCGATACGTATGATTCAGTGTGCGGTCTGCACAATGGAGAAAGCAAGCTCGATATTGAATCGCATGATTGCTGACGAAAAATATGACGAATTAGGTTTTCTTGTATACTGTCTGGTATTTATAAATTCGCATCTAGGCATTGTCGTTGTCGATGAATTGCACATGGTCAGCGAAGATTCACGCGGTAACGTGCTTGAGGATCTTATCGCAAAGGTTTGATCGCGAATTTTCATATTATTTTTTCAATTTTAGGTCCAACTCCTTCGAAAGATGACGAAAAACACTCTGCGGATAGTTGCTATGAGTGCGACGCTGGATGAGGATCCGTCTAGGATTGAAGCGTGGATTGGGACAGGCTTGTATCAAACGGATTTTCGACCAATCGACTTGGCCGAACATCTAGCAATAGGGGTAATCTTGTTTCGACCACGGATAAGCCCACGGTTTAGCGCGATCTCTTCCTGGTGAAGACGATGGAAAAGCAGAAGGAATTGCCGCAAGAATTCTTTTTTCCGCAAGATCGTCTGGGGGTCGCGGGGTGAATTTGTTTTCGCAGTTCGAGGGTTTTTTTAGATGGGCTACGGAAGGAATCCATCGGGGCTATTCAATCCTCGTCTTTTGCTCCTCGAAAGCCGACGTGGAGAATGTAAAGTGTGTATGATTTGCTAATTATTTTTAGACGGCATCTGATATTGCTAAGGCTTCGCGGGAACTACAACGCAGAGGGGTCCTGCCTCAGGTAGATGTAAACCTGTTAACTAGAATTTAGTTTGCAGATGGTAGTGAACGAGGACTCACCACTTTGGGCTTTGAAGCAAGAACTTGAGCGATTAGGTGAAATTGATGAAAACTTGATTCGATGTCTCAAGTATGGCATTGGCTTTCATCACGCAGGTGAGCACGGTGTCACATTGAGACCGTCTGCTTTAGGGTTGACTGTAGAAGAGCGGGAGTGTCTTGAAAAATACTTTCGAAAAGGCGCGATTCGTGTCCTTGTCTCCACGTCTACCCTGTCCTCGGGTGAGTTGCAATTTTGGCGCACCTACGATTGAATAGGGGTAAATCTTCCGGCGAATCGCGTCATTATGAAGGCACAGACCCGCGGCCCAAATGCGATCAACGCCGTCACATACAGGCAAATGGCCGGTCGAGCCGGTCGAATGGGGCTGGCTGAGAAAGGTTTTCACTAACCTATATAATATAATCGCTCATTAGGTGAATCAATCGTGATCGTCTCGAGAAGTGAGCTGGAACTCCTGCAGAAATTGATCGCGCGCAATCAAATTTTTAATGAGTTCATCAAGCGGGATCCGCGAAGGCTAGTGTTAGAGGTCTGTGGAATTCTTTAGGACTTATATTTTTTTTGCAGGCGACCAGCACAAAAATTTGTCGAAATAAAAGTGATGTTGAGCAGCTTCTGGGCTATCTTCTCTACCCATCTACCCATACGGCCGAGGAGATTATCGATGGTGAGTTAAGATTCTCGACTACTTTTTATTAGCCCCCTAGAGCTGTCCGCTGGTCATTTCATCACCAAGAATATGTCCGCAGAGGGAGTGCTGGAAATTGACTCGACGCAATTGGGGATGGCAACAATAAGTGAGTTTCTAAGCGGTCTCCGCTGTTTTTTGGGCGCAAAAAAGGATTCATGGTGTGCATCGTTCAGATTCATCGCTACCGCCATATGACGCGCTGCGCGTCTTTAGCGACCTGAAGAAAGCGGTGAACAATGTGAACTTGAACACCGAGCTGCATTTGCTATTCTTGGTAACTTATTCTTTTAGCTTGTTAATACAATGACCTAGATTGTCCCGGTAAGTGTTTCGCTTTGGAACCAGGTGGACTGGCAATTGCTTCACGGTATCTACACGACGCTGGACCCGATCTCTGTTGGGTAGGTGGAAATTTACCGATTAGGACAGCTCCCTCCTTAGTGTTGCTCGAATCGTGGGTGTCTGTGAAGCGATGTTGGTCCGTTTGATGCGCGGTACAACTGTCCAGAATGAGACTCAATCGGTCGGTTCTTGGATTGAGATTTTATCACTTTGGTCGACCCGTTGCGTCTTAATTGCTGATTTTAGATCTGCAAACGTTTCTTTGCGGCAATGGTTCTGCAAGACTTGATCAACGAAAAACCCATGGCCGAAGTTGCGCAAAAATTTCGACTGAATCGGGGCTCACTCCAGGCTTTCCAACAACATTCGGCAATGCATGCAGGTTGAACAATCCTCCCTTTTTTTTACCTCGAGCCTTTTCTAGCGATGGTGGTCACGTTTTCTTCGCGAATCGGCTATTACATGCTGCACAAGGTGCTCGAGGAGTTCTCTTATCGATTAGCGTTCGGGATTAGAAGGGAACTCTCCGAACTCGTCCAATTGGAGGGCATCGATGGTTCTAGGTTTGCACCAGTCTGGTAGCGATTAAAACAATTTTAGGGCTCGCGCCTTCCACGAAGCCGGCATTACCTCGTTGAATTTGTTGGCAAATGCAGACCCCAAGGATATTACAAGAATTCTTCAATCTGTCGTCCCCTTTGAAAGGTAAACAGCGTTGAACTATGCCGTGGAATTTTTTTCTAGCTCGTTAGGGGGGTGGGATGCTTGACTTATTCAGCCTAACTGAATAGTTGTACAACATAGGCTATTTTTATAGTGTTTCGAGTAGCTTTCGATTACTAGAAAGTTGTAAAAGATTTTTCTTAAATTTGATCAACTAAAAGGTCCGGAGAGTGCGATTAAAATAGCTTGTTTTTGATCATAAAGCGCCTACGGAAACATGGGGAAAAATTGCATTGGCCCTTTCCTTTGTAAGCTGATAAACCAGCACGGCATTTTTTAATGATAATTTAATTATAGCGATTCCGCCGATCACACAGTGGCTGAATGGTTGTTCGGTGCTGGGTTGATGAAGCTCCCAGACGCCGTGCGTGCGCTCATGGATGGAGCCAACGCCATTCTGCTGCAGAAGATACGGTATCTGCCTTTTAACCTTTGCATCCCTCTTTTTTTAGGGAACTCGGTTGGGTCTCCTCTACTCAGGTCGACGAAATCAAACGCAACAAGAGGTCAGAGCTCAAAAACTACCAGCTTAGACGGTTTTTCGCGCGTAAAAACAAAAAAGGCGCCAAGCGGCCGAAAAAGCTAAACGGCCGCTTTAAAAAGCGGTGGGCCAGTCGCGCGGGTAGTGCGTAAGGTTTTCCCGTTATTCAAGTAAATTTCCGTGCATGTTTTGTTCTTCGTTTTCGTTTCGTTTTATAGCTTGAAGCCGCTGTGAGTTTTTCACCTATTCTCCGTTCTTGCTTGTACTGTTTCGACTTGTTCAGCCGCTAGTCATTTCGTTGTGATGAATATTTCGCCCTGCATTTCCCCGTAATAAATTTTCATTGCTTTTGGGGGCATTGAGAGCGCGAGCAAATGGGTTGCCATTTTCATCTGGCGGAATATCAGTCAATATACAGACAAGTGAACCTTTGCGTGTTTAGGGCGCTGGTCGCAGAGGCATTCGTGGAGCACTCGGGAGATGCGCCACAACTGGAAATTGCCGATTCGGGAATGGGCGCGGTATCTTCGAAGAATCCTAGTCAAATCAGTTCTATTAGAGCGTGATCTCGACCCAGCCGGCCCAAAAGATCAGCCGTCCCCTCATAAGCGCCGAATCCGAGCCTGCATCTTCTGAAGACACGGAGGGGTTGACACGGTATGAGCGTTTATCCAAGATATCACGATTTTTCTTGAAGGACACCGACGCCCCCATCGAATCCCCACAACATCAGCACGCTCAGCATTGCCGACGTGTCGAACATCGAGGAGAGCTTCTCGATGGCGAGTTTAGGAATAGTGCTGACATCAAAATTCTTATTTTAGTTGTCCATCGACGGCGATAGTGTCAAAAATTCACCCCTCCCTCAGAGTAGCCAAATATTTGATGGTCAGTATAGCGTCCCGGATTATATTATCATAGATCCCAACCAGAGCAGTGACTTGTTTGATGGATCGCCGCAGCCATTGAGGACGCAGAATGGGTAGATTTTAGTCCTTGGCTTAACTTCTCCCCTCCTTTAGCCAAAATTACAAACGTGACTCGGGGCCGGTTACCGGATTGAAGCGTCTGTTCACGAAAGCGGTAATATTACAAGTATATTGCGGAAATCATTGAATTCAGACAGCTCCTATCTCGCCGAGCACCTCGAGCCCGGTGGCGAAGGTGCTGAAGGGAACGACGTTGAGCTCGGATGAATCATTGCAATACCTGGCAGCGGCGCTTCCGTCCTGTTCTCGCCATAAATTTAGCATCGACTATTTTGATAACGTCACCACTTTGGCGTCGGTACAAGCCAGCGGGTAATATTCCTCCGGATTGCTTCAAATCCTTTTCAGAGATCCATCTGTTTGGAACCTATTCCTTGAACGGTGTTCCCGCTCGGCCGAGGCTTCTATCGCTTGTGCCCTTCAAGGGGAATGGAACGATGAGGTGAGCTTTCGGCTTTTTTCCAGATCTTACAAAACTATAAGGTTATTCAAATTATACAGGGTTTTTGCAGACCGTCGCCTCCATATACATACTCCTCCCCGAATCACCAGTCGTCAATATCATCCATTTCGATGAAAACGCCAGTCCTGTCATCGCGTTGGAGGAGCGAATCGTACAGTTGGCCCGGATTTTGAAGTAAATGCCGCTGTGCTCAATGGTCATTAATTATTTCAGAGAAATGGATATGCTATATGTTTTTGATGTGACGCGGGTTGCGCTGGCGCTACGGCAAACGGACGTCAGACTGGAGGTGGCACATCCATTTGACGTGAAATATCTCTCGTACCTAGGTTTGGCGTCGGAATTCATGTATTTTAACTCCAATTTAAGTTCTTGAGCGCGAACCCCCATTCCGAGATGTCTACAAAAATGCTCAGCTGACGAGTAAATTATCGCACACTATGTATTTTGGGGCGAACATCGAGTCTAGGATTGCATTTGAGGTATCCGCCGTTTTTCTAGATATAGATAGAGCTTTTAGGCGCTATCTTTGCCCGCGCTCTACAATTCCTATGCAACGATGGCGAAACGGCAGCACAAATCTAGGTTATTATTGGATGCAAACAAATTATCTGGTTTTAGCTTCTTGAAGCCCGAATTCGAAGCGGTCGAGGCGATAGTACGAATGACCAGCAACGGGATACGACTGAATAAAAAGGTAGACTGTAGCAATAAGCTGAAGAAGGCTTCTTTATAGGTGTGGGATGAACGACTGGCGCAGATACGGCGTCGTCTAATTGAGTTACGCGAGGACTTTGCTGATTCTGTGAAACAATTTGTCCCACCGGGGTCTTATCTCGACATTGATGACCCGAAAGATGTGGAAACGGTACGGCACGATGCTCGTCTGGACTTTGCACATAATTTGGGCGATAGAACGGGTGTTTGTTTACAGCTCCTCTACGACATCCTGAAGCTTCCACATGAGGCGACGGCCAAGGGGAAGCGATCGACGTCGAAGGAGATGTTGGAAAGGATCCCACCCTCTCGGCACCCGGCTCCTCGCCTTGTCATCGACTATCGACATCTGAAATTTGTGCTAAAGGTGCTTACAATGACTGTTATTCTCTCACCTTCTCGTTTCCTTTATAATGTTCGATTTTCTCCGTTCAGCAACAACTTGTCCCTCTTCGCTACACCGTCAAAGCGGGTCCCACTGCTGAATTTTTGATGGTCTTTCCAAAGTTGAATTTGTGTACGAATACAGGTGAGCTTGTTGTTGGGAGGCGGAAGGGGAATTTCCACTTTTCAGGTAGAATCATGACGACGAGCCCGAATATTCAATGTCTGTCGCAGCATGAGCGAATGCTGATAGTCCCCAGAGAAGGTTAGCTAGTGCCGATACCCGCTTTTAAATTTTATTTTAGGCTGGATTTTGATTGGCATAGACTATGCGCAGCTCGAATTGCGCGTGTTGGCGCATATGTGTGGCGATGCGAAGCTGTGCGAACTACTGAGAAGACCAGGTAAATCCGGCTAGACGGGTATTAAGCTAAATCAATTTAGATTACGATATTTTTGCCGATATGGCCAAAAATATGGATTGTGAGCGACAAGCGGCGAAGGTTATGTGTTACGGTATCGGCTTGGGAGTATGGTTTTGGAGATTCTGAGAATTTAGGCATCGTGTATGGTATCGGAAAGGACTCATTGGCCAAGAAATTGGACTGCACCACGGCTGAGGCTGGCGAACTGATCAACAAATTCTACAAACTTTTCCCCAGTGATGTAGTTGACGATTATTTATTTGAAATTCAGGAGTGAAAACGTACATTAATGAAGTGAAGGAACAAGCGCGCGGCCTTCGAAAAGTGTCTACGTTTTTGGGTTTGACCCTTTTTGGCGCTTAGCAATTTCACGTTTTTAGGAAGAACGCGAAATGTGGCGATCGGGAGTAACGCAGAGGAGACAGGTGCTGAGGCTAGGTAACTCTGCTCGAAAATAGAAAAGGAAAATTTTCATATTTCAGGAGAAGTGTCAACTTTATCATCCAGGGCACCGCCAGCGAGATATTCAAGAAAGCGTTTGTCGCCGTTGATCGATTGTTCAGAGGTTCGGCTTGGAAAATTATTAATGTTTCGGATTTTAGAGGAAGCGCAAGGAGAAATTGTGTTACCGGTGCACGATGAATTGCTGGTCCAGGTGCCGAATCAGGTATATTTATCGAAATGTATAATAATAACAATTCTAATATTTCTAGGATGCTACCATTAATTCGACTTGCCGCTTGTTGCGTGCGACCATGGAAAACGCGTTGCCGTTGACGGTTCCACTCTTTGTAAAGATCAATATAGGTGCGGATGTTCTTTTTTTTGTAACTTGTTGTAGGTGTCACTTCATGGGGCAAGTTGTCGCTGTTCAACGAGGGTGATAATTCTTGATATGCATTCTTCCTTGTTCTTTTGATGAATTAACTTTTTTTGCCTTATCTCCATCTGGAATTTGTGGTGTTCTTGTACAGCATGCACATATCAATTGCGCTTGAGGTGATTTCTGCGAACTTATGAAACCCAGCTATTCCACAACTCCCACACACTCGAACAGTTAAAGTGCAAGTACAGGGTGCCCCAAATCCCCCTCCCTGGCCCACCGCAGACGTGCGCGATTTTTGCGATTTAGGTATCTATCGAAAGCTTACGCAAATGCGAGTCCAGCGCGGCTCTCGGATTTTCCGGAATTTCTTTATTATTTACGGTTATTTCAAAAACAAGTTCTCGAGGATGCCGAAGCCGGTCGAGGCGCAGCCAGAAGCTTCACCGAAGAGGGCGGTGGACAACTTTGCGTCGTTTAGAGGATCCGGAGGACATAATATGGGTAGCAGCTCGACGGGGACATGTATGTTTGCTCTATTTTGGGCTCCGAGCAGTTAGTGGAGGTGGAAGTCTAAGTTGGAGACCCAGTGGTGAAATAGCCTATTTTTACAACATTTTAAAGATTTGCCAGTTTTTAATTTTTGTTAAAAATTTAGTTTTTAGGATTTTTAGTGATAAAAGGCTACTATCCACTACAAAGTTTTGTTGAATATAGATGTGTGCTAGATACCTCCCCCGCTATGCGTGCAGAACCCCATTTTCAAGCGCTCCGGAGAATTTTTATAGCTTTCTCATTTCATCTTCGATGAACGCGATCAAGGCGATGGACAGTCAAATCAACGAGATGCTCGGAGATGTCCTGGCAGTTGGAAAACCTCAAGAATCTAGGCGTCGCGGTCGGCGATGAGGTCGAGGATCAGAATCACCTGTTCGACCGCATCCAAACGAAGGTCGAGCGAAACGACGTTGTCGTCCGGTGCTAGGACCAGCAGATGAAGAAGCTCCTCGGCGGAAAATGATTTATAATAAAAAAACTGTAAGCTTAGAACTCTTTCGGTTGTAACAATGCTGTGAATTTGGCTAGACATTTTGGATCGTATCGTCTGTGCTATAGTTTCCTGGTCATTTATGTGTGCGTAACCAGTTGTTGAGCGGTTCGCGCCCGCTTACACGGCATTTCAGTACCACAACACCAATCCCCTCTCCTCCCGTGTGCGCTCTGAAAGGCCGCCATTATAGTCATTGGTGTTGCTCTATTAACAGATGCATTGATTGCCGAACTCCTCAATACTTTTTCTTTTCATTATCTGCTCATGTTAGCTACCCATTTTTGCAATCAACTCTGTGAATAATAAAGCTGACCATTGGCAGTCTGTTTTGCAGTGATTCGAATATCCGATGTTTTTCAATAGCAGTCGATAACTGGTAGACTTTATTCACAGCGGGGTATGGCAGAGAGCATCACAAGTATTTTAATATCGCGAATAAGTCAAATATGAAAAACGAGTTTCAAGTAAGGAAGAGCCGAATCGAGTGCGAGGTCCTGGCGGAATCAGGTGTCAACGCCGGTGCTGTCGACGTCTTCGCGATTGGCCTTGTCGCGGCTGTCTTCCTGTAAAGATGTAATACTGTAAGGATTTTTTTCTGCCATGCATTTGGAAACGCTCTATTATTTAAAATTTAAAATTAGGTTTTTCGTAGTTACCTCATCACCGAGCCACTGACGGTCCCTGTCCGTCTGGCCGGCGTCCTGGGTGCGGCTTGTCATGCGCTGCTTCTCGATGTCGTGTTGAGACTATAATATTCAGTACACAAATTAGTTTTTTATTTTCCAACCTTCATGTATTCCAACTTGACGGCCAAACATTTCTTGCAGCCCGCATTGATGAAGCTGAGGTCGCGCAGAGCCTCCGGCTTCAGCCTAAATTTTGGTCCTTACTTCGAACAATATTCTTGGTCCTTCATGGGTTTTTTGTTTTTTTGGTCATTTTTGGCCTGCTCGGTCAGTCATCCGCGGCCCAGAAGTTTGTAAAGAAAATGCTTTCAAAGTTAAATAACTTTTTAAGGAGGGGAGTTCCGCAAAAGCGAATATTTAAACCCTGATCTATTTTCAATCCCCTATCGTTGTTATGCTACATTACGATTTTCCGACTGAGTCAAAAACAATTTCCTTGTAAGCTAAAAAATTAATAAAGCTAAGCTTAAAGCTAGGGAAAAGCAGTGCGCAATGAATGCTAATCAGACTTCTAGAAATTACATACATTTGCTGGTGGAAGTGTTGGCAAACAGGGGTCTGGAGACAGTCTCCTTGGTCGGCGTGCAAGTTGCTGAAAAAATTCGGGTAAAAAGGTGGATTTTGCCTTCAAAGTTAGCTAAGGATAGTTGCTGAAAAACGAAAAGGGCTGAAAATGAACACCTACAAGCTGATGGTCTTGCAGGTGGAGCAAATCAAGGAGCCGAAGCGGCGGCCCTTGTGATCGGCTCCCAGGAGACGGACACAGTTGCCACACTAAGGATAAACATTGCCCATAGCAAGTGTGACATTTCGGCGCTTTCGCAATATCGATGGATATCTATTTTTTTCGGAGTCCAGTAGCCTAGTAACTACGGTATTTCAGCCTTTAATAAAAACGCGGACGAGAGGGGCCCTAGGCTACGTGCCGCTCCAATACAGTAGCATAATGCATGAGAATGCATTGAACGCTCGAAAAGCAAAAGCGACTTTGCGCTATCGTTTCATGGTGGTTTCGTGGGTTTCGAATCGTGAGAAAGCTGCCTAAATGCTTTCTTGCTCACTATCATGATTGGATTGGACAGACAATAATTTTTGGATTTTTTAATGAACATTTTGTTTTTTAAGTTTCGGAACAGCAAAAAAATAATAATGCAAAGATTGTATCCTTAGAAGAAGTAAAAGTTGACTGTTAAAAGTTGCTCACGTGTTTCTTCGTCCCTCCATCGGTAGCGGGTGACGTCGTCGCTGGTTCTGGCTTGTTGACTTCCGGGGATCGATTTGGCTCCCTTTGCTTGACCGGGCACCGCTGGGTGCTTTCAGATGGGCCCGCCTCGCTCTAAAAGAATTTATTAAGCAGAAGGCATTGGGTTTGCGCTAACTGAAGAATCGTCGCACCTGGACACTGGTGTGTTCGCCGATGTTCGCGATGGTGAGCGTCAGATCATGGCTCGCGAACAGCGGCCGAGCGGCCAGGAGATTGGCCCGCATTTTCAGTTGCTCTCTAAAACAAGGATTGTGTATTCTTGGCGCGATCCAATTTTAAAGCGAGTCGGAACTCCGAATACGGGTTTTTGTGTATTGCCGGGTGGGGGGGAACCGCTTTTTTTTGGCCTAAGCCTAGATTTTTTATATAAATAGTGGAAGTATTTCTAAATTGTTTATAGCTATTCCTAAACATAAAAACTTTACAAAATTTAATTAAAAAATTTAATTTAGGTCGAAAAATCAATTTTTTCGGCCCAAAAAGAAACCGTAGAGTAAACTCTTATACAGCGCTACCCCCGCAGAACACGAAAATTCTTATATATATTTGGGGGTAATACCTACTCTGAGCTGTACCATCCAAGGAGCTTCAGTTCCAGATAGATTTCGGGAGCCCCATACGTAGAAGTAGCCGGGAATGTCTGTCCGTGTGACAGCCACATGCGCCCGGTGACTTGGCGCGCCACTTCGGTGATGGTAGCGATGGATTCCTTGACAACACCAAAGTAACGAGCTCGAAGATGCCTTCCTACCGCTGGAACTTCGTTCACGAAGAAGCCGAGCTGGGCGATCAATTGCTCTCGCTTCACGGGCGGGCGGCGGCAACGGGTAGGTGGCGCGTGTACCTGGAAGTCACTCCATGAGAGGTGGCGTTTAGCAAACCTCTCCCTGAACAGCCGGCGTCACCTCTTTCAACCCTTCGATGTTTCTAGCACGTTCGGCCACCTCCATCATCTTCAGCAGATCGTCGGGCGAAGGGACCTAAAAATATATATCTGATATCTCTGATGAATATAAAAAAGTAGTGTCTGTGTGTGTGTGTCGATTTGCATGCAACTTCCGTCTGTATGTCCGGAGGATAACTCAATAGGGGATGAATATTAGGGTATGTATGATACATCATTAGGTGCGTAATGGCTCTGCGATGACTGCACGCATAACAGAATTATCGAAATACGCTATTTTCGATATTAAAAATAAGTTTTTTGTAAAATTTTCTAGAACCCTCTTTGGTAGGAAACAATTAGCGTATACCGGAAGTAGAAGAAGCCTATATAAAGGGATGGAAGGAAAGCTTTTTCATTTCTGTCAGCATGATTGAGGCGGAATTATGCAAAGTTTACAGTTTCATTTGTCTAAACGGGGCCAGGGTTGAAAAGTCGCGAAGCGGCTTTTCAACCCTGGTCTCTGATGAATCATACGCCATCCTCTCGCTTCTCGCGCTGCGGGGTGACGGCCGGGACGGCGATGGCATCGATCAGTTCGCGCGGGTGCTTCGGGGGAACTCCAGTCTCGGAGGGCACGACGGTGAGTTCCGGTAGCTGCTCGCGGGGAGGGGGGGTCTTGGGCTGCCCGGTGTGAATCCGGCTTGGTGGCCCGACTTCCCGAACAACGGCGCCGACACGAGGCCCTGGCGGCTGAGGAGCTGGAGCAGCTCGTTGTTGATGAGGCGGCCGGGTCGGCGGCGGACGAATCGGCGGCGCCAGAAGAGGCCGGGGACGCAGCGGATGGACGGGCTGCGGGGGAGGAGGCCGGGGACGCAGCGGATGGACGGGCTGCGGGGGAGGAGGCCGGGGACGCAGCGGATGGACGGGCTGCGGGGGAGGAGGCCGCGGAGGCAGCCGATGAACGAGCTGCGGGGCAAGAGGACGCATCGGCGGTCGAGGAGGACCAGCGGCCGGTCGAATTCCCTTGCGGAGAGGGAATCTTTGGGCCTGAATATGTTGTATGGGTAATTTGGGCCTTCAATATGTTGGGTGTAAAGAATAAACACAAGTTTTTTTTACGATTTTTGACGACCCACTACTCGCTAAGAATTTTTGAACGTTTTTGCAAAAATAGAAAACTTTGAAGCGATAAAGTATGCAACTTTTGAAGAGTTATAGTAAAGTGTAGGTATCAAAATAAAGCTCTTGTAATGCGCTATTAAATCAGTGGTAACGATTATCGATCGGTTTAACTAGCCGTCAATTGGTTTTTGCTTTCTCAGCCCGGAAAATTTGGGTGCCTCTTTAAGATGTGGATTGAGTGATAGAGTGGGAGAAAAGCTCTAAGGCGCCCACCGGTCCTTGACAACCCCTTGAGGTAGAGGTACTGCAGGGCGTGGCGGATGGGGTTGCCCTTGGGCTTGTTGCAGAATGAAAAATTGCAGTGATGGTCAAAAGAAACCCTTTTCATTTTTCTCATCGGTATTCGCGAAGAAATATGCAAATGCTAGAACAACACAGCTTCCAGACGGGGCCAGCGTTTAAAAGTCGCCAAGCGCCTTCTCAGCCCCGGTGACCGATTCATTATCTGGCAAAACCGAAAATGCAGTAAAAATACCGAATATTCAGGGACGGGTCCAAGTCATCCTTTTCGCCGAGAGCCTGCTTCTTGGCCTCCTTCCTCTTGTTGTTTTCTTAGGCTCGGGATCAACCGTTGAGTATTATCCAACTTCCGGAGAAGCAGAAGGCAAAACTGACATGCTAATATCGAAATTACGAAGCCTCGAAAATCCGCTAATCCCGGGCAAAATTCCTAGTCAGAATCGAAATACCAGACATGTTTATCGTGCGAGAAAGCAGAAGTGAAAATTCGGCAAACAGAACGAAGAAAGAGACAATATAAATATTAATAGATTATGGCGGTATTGATATGCGGGCTCAATCACTAAAAATCTCCTCGTCGTCGTCTACGATATTCTTTTGTTGTGCCTCGAGCAAGTCGAAATATTGCGGAAAGTCGAACAAGTCACGCTGCGTCAGCGTTTTCTTGTTACCGCAACCGCTGACCGGACATCGCGGTCGTTTATCCGCCCTAAAGGCAGGTGGTAGTCTAGAATTACAAAGTGATTACCGTTTCTCTGTTTGCAACCATGCGGTAATCACCGATTCATCGTAGATGTGGCCGCAACCCTAATTTGCAAAATGATGAACAAAAAAATTGGAACACTACCCTGTTCTTAATAGGCTTTTTGATCGGCTGCTTAGAAATCGGATCGACGGTATTCATTTTCTCTCCCAGTACGGCAATGTCCTCGTCCTGATCTGAGGCTGCGGAACTCTCTGGCTGGCCATCCTGAGAAAATAAAGCATTAAAGCAGTAGACAGCATCAAATATGAAATATCATAATTATATATGCGTACCAGACGCCTTTCAATAGCACCAAATAGCGGGTTCGGTCGGTCGTTCGTTTTTCCGAGCAGCTCTTCTACCCTAGAAGCTTCGGTGTGGTGTCATATGAAACAGTTACCTCTCTTCAGCCACCTGGAACATCTTCTCAATCTTCAAATCACCCTCGAAGGCCTTGGGGTTGTTGTCGTTTTCTCTAGTCACGGCGATTCGAGCCTGGGCCTGCAAAGAAAAAGCGGTAGATAGAGCCATAGACGCAAATCACCTCTTCCTCAACCTTCTTCAGATTCTTTAGGATTTCGCGAATTTCGTCCTTCTGTCCATCCGGAAGTTCTTCAACTGGCAGCGATTCCAGCAGCTCCAGTGTTTTATTTATTGGCTCCATTTCATCGAAGCGATTATTCCGAGTGTACATCGCTGCCTTAAATTTATAATTGTGAAAATGCTTTGTGGCGTAGATACAAGAATTCACGGATATCAAATCCAAATCAAGTGATGCCCGAGGCTATGTAAGAACTTTATTATTCATCATTCCTCCAAGGCAACAAAACTGAGGTCAGCAATACCCGTTACTGTAAATGACAATCGGAAAATGGCAGGGATACACCGGTATAAAACGTCGCTGGGTATAATGAGCAGTTAATGGCAATATCAATTAATAAGGACAATGAGAATCAGAATTTTGGGCATTATTTATTTAAGGGTGTGATACAAAAAGAACACTGGCTAGTTGATCGTCTCCTCAAAAGGGGCTCTCCCAGCTTCCTTTCATGGCCATCATCGACACTCCGCGTACTGCTTGGAGAGCATCGACAAGTTGGCGTAGATCGCACACCTGCAAATGGGAGGCGTTGAAGATGATCAATTGAAATCTACCTCTTCCCGTAGACGACGAATGCACGCAGCCTGGCTCTCGGGGTGACAAACTAAAATTTAGATGCTTTCCCGGGTACTGGACTGTTAGTGGGGGGAGGGAGGGGGCGAAAATACCACGTATGGTTTCAACGCCGGGTTTTGTAAGTATAGTAAGTTTTGGAACAATTAAAATTTGCGAAAATGTTCGATTTTTTGTAAGAATTTAAAATTCGAACGTTTTAATAATTAAAAACTCGCCCAAAAAGCCGCACAAACTAGCTAACTTGAAAAATTCGGCGATTTAGGCCAGCCCCCCCCCGGCTAACAATCCAGTACCGACCTTCTTCGTCAATTCCTCCCAAATGTCGCAAAACTTCGGCTGCACTAGGGCGGGCTTCTGGCAATTCGGTGAACAGCATGGTGACGACTGTGTTGTACTGAAGATATAAATCATCAAGGAGCTGCAAAATCCATACCAAGTCCGGCGAATAGTTGAGGAGGTACAGCGGAATTCTTCCCTGCCTCGCCGCTTCCAATGTTCCGACACGCTCCATGTTTGTTTGGAAACAACCGAACAACTCGCACAACACGATCCCGCAGCTGAAGATGTCCACCTAAAAAAAGTACTACTGTTTTCGTAAAAGCCAAGCGATGCAAGAATTTCAATAAACTTTTTTAGTAGCATTTAGCGCTTTTCAAGTGGAAAAGGAATTTTAAAAATTTACAAAACGTTAGAAAATTAAATCATTTTCCAAAAAATTGTTTTTGAGGGGTTTTCGTGAAAATTTTCACCGTTTTTACGCTTCGGAGCAAAAAAATCTATAAACATTTGCGTTCTGAATATTAGAAAAAGTGGTTACTAGGAAAAGGTGTTCCGCTCGAAATTCGGGGAGCATTTTTTCCTAAAAATTACCGTATTGCCATAATCGGACGACCTGACTTGTTCAGGCGCCGCGTACAAGGCCGTACCGACGCCCATTGACATCTTCCGGTCGAGCTAAACCGCGCGGGGTACAAGTCAATAAGCGAAACATGAACCTGTATAGGCACGAAAACATCTTCCCTTGGCTCGTGGGTGGCTAGTCCGAAATCGCCTAGTTTCAACCGTTTGCAATCCGGCTTCTGCGTTAGGAAGATATTGGCCGGCTAAAAACTTCAAATTGGTGACTCGTGAAAATCCGACCTTGATATCGCGATGAATGACCAAATTGGCGTGCAGATATTCGACGGCGCTCATCAAGTCGATGGAAAAGCGCAGTGTTTCCTTGGCGTTTTCTTCGGACAACATGTTAGCTAAAATGACACGTTCTGAGGGGGCCGAGAATGAATTACTGTGCATCGCTGCATTTCGTTCTTGAAGGTATTCCGTCAACGTCTGCTCGCAAAGTTCCATTTGGATGAATATGTTGAGGCCAGTCTGAAACATCAGTTTTAGAAAATTATATGCTAAAATCAACTTGTCTTAGTGATCTTTTCCTTAATTAAGGTCAAAGAGCTAAAATCGCAATTTTTTCCAGCAAAGATTTCTTACTGTAGGCAGTGTCTGCTGCGACATATCGACAAATTTGGCCATTTTTGAGAGGCGTTCAGGCGCGCGCAGTTCCATGACTTCTCGCATTGAAACAGAGCCAGATGTCTAAAAAAACGGTGCCGTGCAAGGGGATATATTTCATACGAAAGCAGTCGGTGTCTCCGAGCCGCTGGACGACTTTTGTGTTGTTTGTTCTTGCTTTTCATCTGGGATAGACTCTTCACTTGATGAATCTGTAGATGAACTAAAAGTGACACTCAGACGAAAATATAATAAAAACCCTACTCTCCGGCAGCAAAGAAACGGCCCATCGGAGCCGGTGTGCGAATAGCCGATGAGGTATCGCCAAATGATGGATTGTAAGAGCTGCCCTCCTCTTCCCTAAAACAAAATTACGTGTCGATACTCAAACAGAACCGGTCGATTTCATTATGTCCCGAAATGCTAGGCAAATTATTTTCTGGCTGCGCATCATCTTCATCTTCTTCATCGGAACTGAACGATGGGTTAGAAACAATTTTTACCAGGCAAGGGCTGATTTTTTTAGATGAGTCGAGAAGGAATTCAAATTAAAGTGGAAAGATCAGAAAAGTGGTACTATGAAAAATGGGAGAAAAATCTATTTTTGCAAAGCATTATTTTGCATGTCGATCCAGAAAGTGGAGAAGCGAGAGATAAATGAAGCACCTCAACAGCTCGACAACCTTCGGGCCGCACCGGCTCGAGAGGCGCCTTCGCCGACCGGGCGGAGTAGATTGGCTATCAGCCTCCATCCAAGCCGTATGATATCGTACAACATTCGGATGATCAAGGCGAGCCATTGTCATAACTTCGGCAAGTACCTAAAACACGATCAAAAACAATTCGCTCCACACCACCTTCTTTGGCGCTGGGCAATTCTGGTTCAAGCGGATTTTCTTCACTGCATAATGGCATTGGTCGAGTCGAGAAAGGACCTGAATTAAACTTTGAGGCAGGACAGCTCTTCCTTACGTGCTTTACTTGGCCAAAACCGCCCTTTCCAAGCTGGTTGACCTCCACGAAGTCCTCATTGTAGCGGCTGGCGTCTTGGTTGATTTTGACCCTAAAAATGTTTTGAATAATATAACTGCAGACGTACCCGCTGCCAAAATACAGCCTATCTCCATTGACTGACAGATCGCGAAAAACGCGCTGCAAGAAGTTACGAAGTCGATCTCGAGGCACCGTCCGACCCCTGGCGAGCAGCTCGGCGAATAAAGTGGTAATATCTAAAGAACTGTTAGAAGCATACACTCAATTACTTGATTTGACGAGTTCCCGCTGTTCAGAAGAAATGCTGTCCAAGAATTCTTCGACGATCGCGCGACTCGTTTGATCAGTGCCGACATTACTAAAAAAAATTTAAAACTGGCGCGAAACGCTTACTTGAGAGCGACTGCCGTCGAAATCTTTTTGAGACCTGGCTGACGGCTGGGGCCCGGTTCATTTCGCAGGGTTTCTAGGGTCTCGTCATCTTCATCTGTCGGTGCACGGCCTAGAATTAAGACCTCAACCCACAGAAAACCTCGGGCAAATCCACAGGCAAAGAGAAGAAGGGAAGAGATCATACCTATTTTCCGGACTCTTTCATCGAAGGTAACACCAGCTTCAGGGTCGTTGAGGAAAGAGGAAGTTTCGGCTTCCCAGTCAAGTAGAGAATCGTCTCCATTTATATCTTCGGGTGGATTGTTGCTCATCAATTGACTGAAATTCATTTTTATAGGTTCTAATAGGGGCGAGTAATTTTGTCGAAAAAAAGGAGAACGACCGACGCCGACAGTCTTGAACGGTTCTAGCCGTTTCGAGAAAATTCTCGGCGAATTGCAAAAAATGCCGGTTATTTCGAGATCCTTCTCGGTCTCCTATCAAATTGCCGATTCGAAGGACTGGTGTATTTTCGGGGTGAACCCTGCGTCGTTATTCAGGCACCTTGATCAAAAAAATATTTATCCCAACAATGAGAAAGACCAAAAATCACAGTCGTTATTAATCAATTAATTATTATGGACGTTCATCATGAAAATGCCGTGTCCTGTGACCCGGTTTCGAAAAGAAAGGCCTCAGGAATTGCAAATTTTCGCTCAAGGAGGGCGTGGATAAAGTGACGACAAAAGTAGAAGATAGAAGTAGGACAAGCAGGGCCAAAGAGATGCACATCGACACCACATACGCAGAAATTGATAGGCCAATGTCGAGCCAGGAGCCCGTGTCTTTCAGTTGGTAGAAAAGGCACTGGAATTGGAGTGGAATTGTGTTTTGAAAATGTTCTCACCATAGCGATCACATCAGTAATGGCCAACGTTAGGTAGGAGAGACGATTGATTGCATCCTGGAACACATAATAGAAGGGCCAGCTTTTTCTAATAGAAATATGGGAAGTGTCTATAAGCTGTTTTAATATTTTCGTCCTTTTTCCACCAGAAATATTGCTAAGTCTTACCAAAAACTAAAAAATTGCTTACTATTGCAGTAAAAGTATTTCTGGATTTAAAAAAACGCGATCCTCTACCTCCCTCGATAATGCGAAAGAACCCTTCCCTCAAACTCACAATATCGAAAAGAAGAATTGCCGAGAAAACCATGGTGAGCATCAGCAACGGGATGATTAGTTTGAAGACTAAAAAAAGGTCCTCTGAAACCCAATAAAATCCCACCTAAAAGCATGGCCATTGTAAAAGGGCTGAAAACCGAGATGAAGCGATGGAGGGTGGATGGGTTGAAAGAATTCAGCGAGGCGAAATTGCCCGTCCCGAACAGCGCGCCAAGGACCAAGGCGACGACAGTCCACGTTCTCACGACATCACGTACCGACAACTCGTCGAATAATCCTGAATTACTCTGTTTAGTGGATTCAACGGTTCTTGCGCACCATTGGTGGGGGGAACCACCTTTTTTAAACAATTTTTGTAAAATTCCTAAACGTAAAAACTACAAAATTGATTACAATAATATAAAAAAAAATCGATTATTTGACCGAAATGGCCGATTTTCGATGAAAACTCAACAAAATACTGTTCTGAATGTTCTTATTATTTTCTACTTGAATTATGGTAAATTTCACTAAAAACACGACCCGCTTACCACTAGTTTTTCTCGTTGCCGCTTCCAACTGCAGCAGCACCGTATCCGAAAAATTTGCAAACTCGAATCGAAGCTAAAAATAAAAAAGATTTTAAAAAATAACACTGCTTACCAGTAATATTAGTAGAGCCACAAAAAACAGAACAAACACCGATTCGTAGGCGATGGAGAGCAATGAATATGGTACGAAGAGAAATCCTAAAAATTCTTTTTGAAAAAAATGGACCAAATACGCACCAAGAAATGCGGCCAAGCGGTCGACGATTTTCCGGCGAGACCATAGGATGGGCAGGATGAATGCTGCGGGCAATGTCATCCAACAAATCGCACGGATGAGTAGGGGAGTCTAAAAAAGGTAGAAAAATTTTTTAAGCTTACCGGGTAGTATACATATTCGGTGATGAAGATGAGCAAAGCCGCGAAAAAATTCGCAGAAGCCGCTTTTCGGATGATATCGTTATTAGCCGCGAAGAAATGGTGCTGAAAGGAACCCTTTAATTTTCCCGAAGTCTAAATCGAATTGGTATCATTTTTCCTAAACACGGATTTCCCTAAAATCACTTTTTCCAAACCGGCCAGTGGCATTTTAGTAATGTGCTTATCTTAAATTTAACTTCGTTGGGGCGAAATCCATTAGTCATAAAACCATTAGTCATAACCTCATTAGTCATAAACCCATTAGTCATAAATTCCATTAGTCATAAATCCATTAGTCATAAATTCCATTAGTCATAAACCCATTATTCATAAATTCCATTAGTTATAAATCCATTAGTCATAAATTCCATTAGTCATAAATTCAATAGTCATAAATTTTATTAATCGTAGATTTTGAGGTTTGAGTGTTGAGTTTTGAGTTTTCAGTTTCGAGGTTTGAGGTTTGAAGTTTTGAGGTTTATGTGATGGTCCTTGTCGTGTTCTCGAATCAAACTTCTTGGTTGCACGTGATCGGATATCATTAAACCTATTAATTTTGGATTTGTTAACGGGATTATGTCAGAGAATAACATTTCCAAGCCATCAGTTTCATAACATTTATGACTATTGGAATTTATAACTATTGAATTTATGACTAATGGAATTTATGACAAATGAGTTTATGACTAATCGAATTTATGACTAATCGAATTTATGACTAATGGGTTTATGACTCATGGAATTTATGACTAATGGATTTATGACTAATGGAATTTATGACTAATGGGTTTATGACTAACGAGTTTATGGCTAATTGTTTTATGACTAATGGGGGGCAATCACTTCGTTGATAGTGAAAAGCTGTGAATTAAACAAAGAAAAACGTTTAGGAAGATCCAACTAAAAGTTTTGACCAAAAAAATGGCGGCGATTGGAATTTTTTATTTTTTACAGCTTCCCTCTTCACATGAGAAGTTTTAAGAAAAATGAACATAAACTGTCCAAACCTCAGCTGCGATCCGATATATAACTCCCATAACAATTGGGGCCGAGATGCACAGCCAGGGATGTTGGTCTCTGCCCACCGTCGACAGGAATGGAAATACACATAGGGCGCTACACACCAGATGCCACATCAGTTTGCTAAAAAATAAATATTATGGTCCAAATGCTACACAACCTATCATAGCGTTCAATTTTCCCGTAAGCATAGGGCACAAGGTTGAGCAAAAAGAAGACGAGCGACAAGGCACGACGGTCCGAGAACACCGAGACGAATGGAAGAATGGAAAATCCTGGAAAAAGCAATACAAAATAAAATAACTAATATGGGTTTACCTAAAAGAACGATCAACGGCAGAAAGCGCCGGATTTTTTGGGCCGGGTCCGAGACGGGTTTCGAATACGGGCTAGCAGCATTCCGGTAAACATTTCTCAGCAATGTGGCCAAAAATATAGGCATTAGAACATAGACCTAAAATTAAAATTAGGTTCTGGATAACGGAAACTACCGAACAAGTGATTGTGAATCGGCAATAGAGGCAGAGCAGCATCACGAGCACGTACAATGCGATGAAGCCCGGTGGAGGGGTCAGCATCGCTTTTGAGTAGATATTAGTGGGAACTGGTCTAAAAGAATGGATGCATCCAAGAAAACTGTAAAAAAAGCAGATTTGTTATCATAATGTCGAAATCACAGAATCTCAAAACTTTTTGCTTAGTAATTTCGGGGGTTTTCCGGTACGTTTGTTGATGTAAATTCGGACGTCTTGAAGATAACCCAAAAAGCACAGTACCTGGTGACAACACTAATGACCAGAGCCACCCAGAGTAGAAAAGAGGCGGATATGCACAGCCCAAAGAAGCCTCTAAAAATACAATAAGTAGAGGAAACGAAATTACGTTACAAACCTATCATAGCGATGATAGTGAAAAATCGCATCTCGTAGCAATTGGGCATGTTCGGTCCACATGGTTGTGGCGGCATTGAAGCGGCTAAAGAATGATTGCTTTTGGAGTACATTTCCTTTTCATTCCCATTTATTTCTCGTTGCCAAAATCATAGCACAACACCCGGTTGCATAAACCATTTAAATCAAAGGAAAATAAAAAGCCAATTAAATTAATTCACAAACCGATTCCGGCTCAAGGCCCGCAACTGCTCGGTCAGTGACTCCAAAGCCCGCGTGCCAAACTTGCTGTATTCAGTAAACCAGAGCCGGCGCTCCTTTTCCGCTCGCAGATGCATCATTTGCTCGCGGAGCTACAACTTATATTTAGTGCTTCTCAAAGCAGCGCACCTGTTGGAAATTTGCATAATTGGCGCGGAAGATGTACTCCTCGCTGGCAGCCAGAACGTCTTTCGGTAAGATGCCGGCCGAATTGACGGGGATTGGGACGCCGAGCAATGACGAGAGAAGGACGGCCACGTCCACCTAGAAAGCGGCAGGATTGTTGGAAGAATTCCGGTTATTGCTTACCTGCGAAATATTAATTCTTGCGCCAGAACTCTTGACACCGGCGCCCCAGGCAACGAAAGGGGTCAGCACCTAGAATGGGAAATGGTACTGGACTGTTACCGGGGAGGGGGGAGGGGCAACTTTCGCCGAGGCCCCGTCGGATTCTAGCAATGAACGTCAAACCCTTTATTTACATTCTTTATTTTATGAGTCTTTTATTTTCGATATTTTCAAGTTTTCAACTCTCAAATCTTTCCACGGGATTCGAGTATCAAAAACTATGAAAAACACTTTAAACACTCAACTAAACCCAGGCCAAAAGTCATTACCTCGGCATCACTACCGGCACCATGCGAGCCCCAATCCGTCATCCCATGATCAGCAGTCAAGATGAACGCCGTGCCATCGTCGCCAAAAAATTCGGACGCTAGCTTTGTCACTCGATCTATCCCGGCGTCTACCACCGCGATATTGTTGATGTATTCCTGAAAAAAAATTGATAATTCCTGAGAAAACATACCGATGAAGCCGGCTTATGGCCATGCCCATTCGTATCCAAACCCAGCAGATGTAAAAAGAACATCCGCTTCTCCGCTCTCAATCTTTGGTCCAACATCGCATCCCGGTCAGCTTCATGAAGCAGTTTCTGCATCAATATTGTTTTAGAGAGACAAAATGCCCAAACCTCAAAGCGCTGGAAAACCCATTCGTCGAGTTTATGCGCCTCGTTTGACGAGAAATCCTCTTCGCTAGCCGAGTAGCTTTGGATATTGATGTGGGCAGCCGGGAACAGTTCCACAATGTCCGGACTTCCGATCAACCACGATTCGCCCGATCTGCGCGAGGAGGTCAGCAAAACGAAATCAAGTGGTTACCTATTGAAAATGGAGTCAAATGGCACCGGATTCTTCTTCCAGCCGGCAGTCACGGCGCTGACATCTTCGGTGAAACCTGAAATTGGTTTCTTGTTTTAGTGCTCCGGGTTTTTCGATTGATTTCAAGGAAACAACGAGGCTGACCAGCAAATAGAGCGACATGTCCAGGCCGTGATTCCGTTGGCATATGAGATGTGGAAACGCCCGATACGCCCTGGTTGTTCCGGATTATGCCGTGGAGGAATGGAGACTTGTCCGGGTTATTGACGAATGTATCGTATCGGAGGCCATCTAGCAAAAATTAAGGCAAAAAAGACGAATTTCTACCGGCACTGAAGAAGATCACTCGTTTCGCCGGTGCGCCGCTTTGCGCAATTTCGTGCGCCGGAAGTCCATAGATAATCTGGAGCCTAGAAATTAGCAGTCATCCGGGTCTCGCCCTACCGGAGATGAGAAATAAATATCAAAGATGGAGTAGAGGAGCGCAAGGTGTATCACGACGCCGAGGACGAACAGTGAGCGCATAAAGGGCAGACATACGCCAGGAGATCGTGTCTAAAGCGGGAAACTGTCGATGATTTAATTTCTTTAAATTTTCCAAGTATGAATGCGATTGTACACTTTCTTGTGATAGGGCAGGAGCATTAAAAGTATTTATCAGATACAGAGATCGAGAAAATGACCTATAAAAGATATACACGCATTGTTTGGAGGAACACAATTTGAAAGCACTTGAAAGAAGACAACTACAACTGAAAATTTCGATCATGATGGAGTTATTCGGTCAAATCCATCTCATCATCTCTGGAGATCGGGGAGATGTTGAGCTCAGGCAGCGTGCGGGCAGCTTGACTACTGCTGAAATTGAGATAGATAAGCAGTATCTACCGGAAGCGGTACCTTCTAATGGCGCGTGAAGGGCCGGCTCTGTCTTCGAATCTCGAGCTGGTGTCTGTGGTTGGCTGGGATGATGACGGTTTGGCGCGTGAGCGGAGCGTCATCGGTGTGGCATGCGGCTTAAAAAGGGGAATTTTTCGCTAATTTTTCTGGGGTTCTTTTTCATTTTTTTTTCATTTTTTCTTATCTTCATCCGCCTAATACCGGCAAAGTGATACCTTTATTCCTTTCGTAACCTTCAACGCTTCTAATTTGTCGTGAGCTTCGAACAATTGTTGCATCGATTGTGGCATATCTTCGCGCGCAGACGCAGAACCCTAATAATCTCATTCATACGCCGTAGATACAAATCTACCGGCTTTTCCTGCGACAACACGCTGATCTTTTGAAGAGTCTGTCGGGCCACCTAAATTGGGATTAGAAAAATAAGCAATAACTTGCAATATTGTAGGGATTGATAGACAGGGCGCGGTGAATCTTGTGGAGAGCTGAATCGAGATCGCCCATTGAGGCCAACGCCAATCCGTGTCCGATCACCGTTTGTTCCCGTTCCGAGTGGAGAAGGCTGGCACACCTAAAACTCGTTATTTGTTTTTGACATTTAATACTTACTCATACAAAATCAGCGCCTGATCGTAATTGCCGATGCGTCGCTGCACATGGGCCATATTGCTGATCAACGGCTCCCAGAAGGTGTCGATTTGCATTCTAAATCATCGATATAACTTAAAATCGAATAGATACATTTGATCCTTGACATATTTCCCATTCTTTTCGATAGCTTCTGGGTTTATCGTGCGAAGGGCACGCGTGAAGGAGCTCAAGGCAGCTAAATGAAAATATGCCCTTGGACCGGTTGGAAACACGTACGACTCCATTGTTTCTGGGTATAGTGGACACAACCGCGTTCGTGTTCCCGGTACGGGCTTGGTTTTGCTCCTTCGGCACCCTGTGGGTAAAGTTGTGGGTCCTAAATCTGGGCCTAAAAGGAAGGAAAGGAAGAACGGTACCTTCAAGAAATCCATGGCCCATTTAACGTTGTTTGTTCGGCAGTATTCCATTGCCAGAAAAACGAATAGATCTTGATGCCGGTCGAGTAGACGAAGAGCCTGAGAAAAGCAATCGTTAAATGGCACTTTTTACTGCATCTAAAATCGCAGCTAAAATCAACGGAGCGAAAAATTGAAAAACCCATTGCAAAAAAATATTTTCCATACCTTCAAGTAGCAATTCATCGCTTGCTCGTGCTCATTTTCGGCCGATAGAATATGGCCAAAGGCGACCCACGCCTCTCCAAAAGCGCGATTCATCATCGTCGTTTTATCTGCAAAAATCGACATTTTCGAACTAAAAAATGACAAACTCATAAAATTCTTGGCCGTCGCATTGTTGCCGATCACAAAGTAATAGAGGGCCACCGTATACCAGGAAATCTGAAAAAAAACTACGATTCCAACCAATTCGCAGATTAGCTCACCTCATCGTGGGGGCTGCGATCAACCAGATCGTGTGCCAGCGTGAAAAGTGTTTTGGTGTCCTTCAGCGACACCGCGCAGTTCACGTGAATCAACAAAGCCGGCTAAAAAAAGTTGACCAACGAGAAAAACTTATCAGTACCTTATAAATTCCATAGTGGTTCATGATCAGTTTCGTGTAGTTGTAGGCGGCCTTCACGTTGTTGTTTGCAAACTGCTGCTGCGCTTGGACGAATAGAGATCGCGGATCGTTCGGAGGAGAGTGGTATGTGCGACGATTGATCTAAAATACACAAATTGACTGGAACTATAAATAACAATTCTGAACTATCGCCAAAAAATCCTACAAATTTCTCCCACTGCTGCTGGCGTTTCTTGCCCTCTGCAAAATTGTAGCGGTTGATGAGCTCCTCGGCTTCCATGTTGTACTTGTCGCGCAACCAGGCTGTCCAAATGAAGCGCAGAGCTGCCGTGCGATTTTCGACAGCGAGGAACGCCTTTCCGAGGCGGCAGAGGAACGCGGAAAGCAGCTAAAAAAATAAATTAATTTGCGAACAATGCGTACCCGCAACTCTTTCGACTTCTCGTCCAGATAGGTTTTTTCTTCTGCAGTCAACTCGCGACTGAAAGCAACACCTTGGTCATCAGAAAAAGTCTCACATGTCCGTCCGTTGCATATAGGGCGCTATCACCGGGAAACGTAGCGGGATTGGCGATTCCTTTTCGAAATTCAGATCTTCGGCTTCGAGTTCGATCTAGAAAAATTGAACACACAGAAAGAAATAAATTACCAAATGCCCAATTTTCGCGTTCATTATTGTGGAAAAGAGCTTCAAGTTTGATAATGCCGAAATGTAGAAGTAAGCGAAGAGTAGATGGGTTTCATGGAGTAGACGCTCTTCTGTGAATGTAATCACTCGCTCCCATGCGCCGACACGGGATAGATTCTGAAGCAACATTTTCGAATCTATCAAAATGGACGCACCTGTACGTACTGCGCCATGTAGACATACGATTCTCCGTCTTGCCGTTGTGTCGCGAATTGGACGTCGATCCAATACAGCGCAGTCACGTTGTCGCCAACGGAGAGAAAGCGTTCTATGCTTTGGTTGATGTTGCGCATCTGCTCTTCGCTGCAAGAAAGTGGTATTGAAAAGGCCTCCAAATTTACGGTGAAGATGGGTCGACGCCATCGGTCGTCGGAGCGTTTGCCCAAAGCCCATCGGGACGCCGTAAATTGACGTCTTGTTTTGGCAGCGCTGGTGGCTAAAAAAATAACTAGATTTGCATCGAATAAAAAGTCTACCTTTCCTCGATTCAGATCAATCTGTGGGAAGGCACCACATTCGAAACTGTGCACCACACAATCAGCTGTCCTCGCAGAACAGGTGCATGTAGCGATGGGTAGCCGAAGGCGTCTGGAAGATGATTTAATTCCAATTTTTATAGTATTTCCAGAAATATCCAAATTTTGCCGTAGGTTCCAGTTTCAAAAAAAAGCATTCCTAAGCGGTTTCTTGTTATTCGTAAACCTAACACCTGAATGTTTATGAAGAAACGCAAAATCATTGAGTTTTCGTAAAAAAAAACGGCCGACCTAGATCACAACCTCAAACCCAAAAAAGTTTTTGAAATTAAACGGTTTTTCTACTTGAAATAGTTAAATTTTGTTTTACAGCCATGAAAATATTTGTGATGACGCTGCTATACATGCCTTCAATCAAAAAATCATATCCGCCTCCCGAAATACTCAAGAACACGAATTACTCACCCCTGTTCAGTTGGTCGTCCTACGGGAGTGCTATGGCCAGCCTCGTCATGTCGAACCCGCGGTGAGTCGTAGTACCGTTGTACCATCCTGCAATTTATCTGATACATTACGCGCCAAAACAGTACACGCACGAAAAAACGCTGAGAATGCATAAGGGGGAAAAGGCAAGACTAGGAGGTAAAGCGACAAAAGAGCATGAATCACAAGCAACACGTAGCGGGGACTTCGTACAAGGCGGGGGAACCGGGAGAATAGGTAAAGTCAAGAAAATACTGGCATGTATAGGCAGTTGAAGGTAGATTGGGAAGCGATAATGGTGCTTGAGCAAGAAATGAGAGAATGTACAATGCTAGTGCCAGAAATATTACAAATATCAAGGTTTAAAAATCTCTGAATTTGTGTTGAGAGCGCCCAATCGAGTGGGATCTTCTCCCATCCGGAGTCGTTGATGGGGATCGTCCCTGGGGCTCTAAGGCTCGTTGCATAGCGGCTTCACGCCGTGCCTTTGTTCTGGGCGTGATGTTTTGATCTGGAGGGGGAAGTCGGCGCTGTGGAGAGCGATGTCTTGGCCCAGACGCCGGATCGAGGGCTTCGATGACGTTTCCGACAGCATTTCCAATCTGCCCAATCACGCCGTTGTTAGCATTGGCTGGCTCGAACCTAAATTAGAAGGTAATTATTGCAAATTAGCTTCATCACTACCTAATACCAAAGAAGCCAATCCTGTACTGCACGACGCCGAACAGGAAGACAATCAGGGACATCACCGGCACACCAATTCCCAGTCCGATTTGGAGGTGTATAGGTAATCCATCAAAGAGGGCGAGGGTGGCTCTATTGAGACGTGCCGCAAAGTGCTCCATCAGGGAAAAGAAGCTGTTTCCAATGACATCGAAGAGGACATCCATCGGGCTTATCTCGAAAATCACGGATACCGTCTGGGCTTCGATGAATTTGAGGCATTCGCTTTTCCGTTGGACCTGGACGATGTTCTTCAAGTACGACAGCGTGCTGGTGAAGAGACCTGAAAGAGTGATTGGGAGTGCCGAAAGTCATTGGAAGTTTTTATTGCAGGGAAGGCAAAATCAGACTCAAAATTTTGCTAAAATTAGAGTCCACGATCATGATCATTTTCTGGGTTCCAAAATTTGCTACTGACGGCCTGACCTTTACATGAATTTTGAATTTTGCACACTTCGATCTCCAGGTGACAAGATGATCAGCATCGTCGACTCTATTTCTGCGCTAATTTGAGCACGAGGTGAGTCTGGGCCTATTTGGTGCTCCCTAGTTCTAAAAACTACTCACCTTGTGGCTTGCAAGCGTCGTCACGTTTCATCGACTCCGCAATCCGCTCGGCCATCTTCTCTTGATACATTCGATTGTAGGAGGTGAACAGCGAGACAACGAAGATTATGAGCAACAGAATTTTCAGTAGACTTCCGCGTGAGAACAATCGCGTCAGGAAGAACACGAAGGCCAGCAGGGCAACGAGCAAGTTCAGCGGAGCGAGCCATGGCTCGAACATTCGGATGAATATTTGCCATTTCGATGGGCTATCGAGTCCAAGGTCGACGATTTGGAAGATGTTGGCGATGATATTGCGGACATTGTCTCGTTGCACTGGCGTGCTGATGGGTGCTTCCAAATATTCATCGATTACCGCCACATCGTAGTCGCTGAGCTGCGCTGAGACAACCCGATAGAAGCCAACCTAAAAAAAATGAAAAATTGGGGAAACAAGCATAGCACCCTTGCTTTCTGAATATAGATAAGTTGCCAACCTTTTGTGCTGGCGCCACATGCATCTGTCGGAAAAGGCTTCTCAAGATCAGTTTCAGGGTCGGCTCGACGGGGCTCGTCGCCTCACAACTGGCCTGTAACGCCGAGCCCGGGGACGAGATTTTGAGATGGAATGTCGGATCGTTCGGGTCGATCCAGTCTTCTCGTGCTCCCTCTTCCTCGTCGAGCTCGACCTCGGAGGCGCATGCGCGGAGGGCCAGTAGTGACAACAGCAGAAGGGGCCACCGCATCTGAAAAGGGATTTACGAGGTTTATTTGAAAACAAATTAGATTCACAAAAGCTTTCAAAGGCCATTTTTTAGTTGTAAAAAGTTTGCTATTTGAAACTCTTTGGGCATATAATGTGTGTCTGACACAGCGACAGGGAGCAAACAAGAGGTGTACGGTAGAATGGATGTGATTTAGGAAGGAGGCCTTTAGCGAACGTGTTCGTTTCACAACCAAACCAACCGGCTTTCTTCTTTTTCGCGCTTTTACCTAGCGCGATCTTTGGTGCGCGTTTCACAATCGTACCATCCAGTAACGAGGAGCCCTGTTTCGCAATTGCTGGGAACGCCCAGCCTTTTGCCGCCGCTATATAACCCTCTTTCCAGGGTAGATGAGACGAAGATGGGGACCGACAACGTTCTCCACCCTGGGCCTGTTGATGGTCGTCTCTACGGCCCAACGATTTGACGACTCTGTGCTGTTCGACCTTGAGTACAAGTCGATTCCGGTTGAGGGAAAGAATGAGGACCTTTTGAAGGTAAATCACATCGTCTATTGGGTAAAAAATCATTTAGGTGGACCAAGCAGCACCCAGGGAAACGTTAGAGATCAGAACAAGAAATGGCGAAAATTATTCATGCCATATTCCTTACGTCCCTGATGCGGTACGTTGTATATTTATGGCATGGCAAATGTTTATTTAGTCACAACGCAAAAAGATCACCTCCTACAACGGGCCATCCCCTGCCGAGTTGCTGACACCCATCTACACCGAGAAGATTTGCTCGTTGAAGGGGGATTTCTATTGGATATACGAGATTTGTCACGGCCGGTAGGTTTACGCCGAATCTTGGATAATCTAGATACTTTAGATATGTTCTGCAATTCCATGAGGAGCGGGAAATGACTAGCATCAAGCGGACGGAGTTTTTCCTGGGAAACTATCATGAAGATTACGCGACAAAGGTGGCTCGCATTTTCAATTTACTAAAAATGTTCAGGCGGCCAGCCTAAAATTCGACCATTTGAATCCGCCGACAAGGGTGATTGACGAGATCCCGACGCCATATTTTCCTGTAACTTATACGAAGGTTTGGTCTAGCTTTCCGGCCGGTAATTCTTTTTTACAGGGCACCGCTTGCGATATCACCGGAAAGCCGCGGACTACAACAGTGCTGTACATTTGTGATGAGGTGGGTCGTAGCAACGCCATTCCGCCCGCCCAGCTTCATGCATACATTAGATTTGTTGGACAATGAGGGCAGATTTGTGGCCATCCCTTAAAATTGAAGATTCCGTGCTTTATTACGAATATTTAGGCTGGACAAGAAAATATTCACTCGTTAGCCGAGGTGTCGTCTTGCCACTATGAAGCCATCGTCCTCACCAGCCGTCTCTGCTCGCACCCATCTTTTGCTCCGCCCGCAAAGAGCAACTACCAGCTCGTCTGTTATGATCAGGTATGCGATTACGTGACCTTTTGGCGGGGTTTTCGTCTTATTCGCCTCCGTAAAAACCTAATGATTTCAGGAAGGACGCAAAGATCCACGGCCACTTGCCCTGTTACAAAGTGGCGACATGCGAAGTCTGGAAGCCGAATCGGTATTACTAACGTTTGAGTCATCAAAGTCCCTTCAGGAATTCCAGCGAAAAGCAGCCGAAGCTCGTGCCAGTCTGACGGCTGAAGAGGAAATGATTGCAGAATCACTGAACCAAGCCTATCAAGAGCTCGAGAAGCGGAGGTTCGATTCCGTAGCGACAAAGGTAAAATATCAGAATTTCCTGAAAATCCCTTTTCTCAGAATCGCGACGTGCAGCATCAGATCATTACGCAGGGGCGCGGAAAGGCGTAATAAATTCACAATTTTTTGGAATATTAATTCGTCTAGGAACCCCGAACGGACCGAGATTGACGAGCACAAAGTAAATGCCCAGATTGCCAGCGATACGATTAGCAAAATTTTCTCAGGTATGGGTGTATTTTTTTATAGAAAAATGGAAATTTAGGCAAAGAATGCATCCAGGGCGGAGCCGGGTGGTGGAAATACGAGTTTTGTTATGGAAGCACGGTTAGTTGGTTTTTGGTGCAGCAATATAGTGTTGTTTCAGGTCACCCAGTTCCATATTACGCAGGACGGGCAAAAACAATCGATTTTATTGGGGACATTTGATGAGGAAATTCACAAAGCCTGGATTGACGAGAACCCGAAGAAGGCGCCTCTAAAGGTTCGCTCAATTTTTCGGTTCTATGCCGGCAACCGGGATTTAATTTTGTCAGAAATCGAGTTTTGAAGTTTTTTGGGGTTTTTTTTTTGCCTGAATTCCTCGATTTCAGAGAAAAATATTCGATTAAGTACAAAATCATCCGGGTTACCTGAGCCAACTTAGATCGATTTTTCTTACTTCTATCCATTCCTATTGTTCAGAATGCCGGAAAAATAATACAAGTGAGCAACATTTATGTGCGCGGTGATTTGTGTGATGAATCACGGGTTCATAGGTAAGATTTGAAAAAAATTAAAATTTCCGATTGAGGTCCGTCGAAGTGAAGCTGCGTTGTAAAGCCGTCGAGGGCAGCAAGTTAGCGATTGGACTCGCGCTAGAGGTGAACTTCTGGTTTTTTATATGACCAAAACTTTCCAGGAACCGAGCGTCTGCCAATACATTCTGACGTTGGAGAGCGCGCGCTTCTGCCCGATCCTCGAAGAAGCCGACGAATACGGGCTGATCGATGCCGAAGATTTGGCGCAAAGGTTGAAAGCCACCTACCTCAACAGTTGAATCGATTTGCGAGATGTGTCATGGCAGTTGGAGTTGCTGCTGCTATCTGTGTCTTCTTTTTTACTTGTGTGTGATTACTCAATTCTGGGGCATCCTATGGGTACTATGTCGTGATCCTAATATTTATTCGCATTGGCCTAATTTACTTGCCTTGCCTTCAGCATGATAAATTGTATTTTTTATATGTGGTTCCGGAGCCCTCACCGTAATTCGGTACAATATTTGAACCTTTTTGCCAGTTTTTGCTATTGGTTTCTTAAGGATGTCGACTGATCCGGTGAAACAGCTGAAGCTAAAGGCAGGGATTGTGAAGCGCCTGGTAAAGGACCACGCAAGCTACCACAAAGAGGTGATTTCTAGCTCAGGTAGCAACTTTTTGATATAGGTGGCCAAAGAACAAGAGCGCGTGGCGAAGATCGAGGCCGACCCATCCCAAGAGGAGTTCGAGTACAAGCTTCGCAAAGCCAAGGAAGTCCTGCAGGTGCGTAAAGTGTTTCCTTTTAAAGTTGGAAAACCCACTATTTTCAGTCAAGTAATATTGATACTGACGTTAATAGTACTTTCGCATTATCGGGGTTGAGAAACTTTTCTTCTAAGCATCCGATTTACTAATATAATTGGCGAAAATGTTTCTAAACTTTGCGAATCGTCGATACGATATTCGATGGAAAAAAATTATTTCTTGGCCAAAAATGGCCGATTTTCAGCCAAAATTTCAACTAGAAATGTTTTCTAGCTTTGGTTATTATTTTTCGACTTGCAATATCGCTAGATTTTACGAAAAACGCTATTAAAATACTTACTATTAATTTAATAGACATTTCTCAACGTATAAGCAAAAATTATGGTCTCCTCCCCGCGATAATGCGAAAGAACCGAAGTTAATCTTCCGTTTCAGGAGTCGCAAGGCATGATCGGTGACACGAAACGGCGTCTCGCCAATGCCGTCTCCGACTTGAAGAATGTAATCGAGAGCGGCGGATTTGCTGATGATCTACCGGTATTTACTCCAATTTTTGGCTGAACAATTGATTTTTAAAGGAACTCGTCGAAGCCAACGGACACCTTCAAGACGCTGCCGCGCTAGCCTAAACCCGGATTACTGTACTTCTCCCAACCTCAGGATCTCACCCATCTTCCGTGCACGAGGTTCGCTATGTGATTTCTCATTGCTCCCCGGTTTTTAAGATTGTGAATTTGTCTATAAATTTTTTTCCTGGTCTGGCTACGGCACCGGATATGTAACAGGATTATCGAAAGACCCATTGAATACATACGGGGAGTATGTGCAGAGAGATGTCCAACAACATAAAGAGCAGCTCTGGGTGGGGCGGTGTGTGTGCGGCGTGGAGCTGTCATGTAACATGGCCTTCTTACAGCACGACGGGCTGGCCAGCAGGTGACAGCCCACCGCAGTTATGATTACGCTTTCCCACCTCGCACAGCCCATCGTGGAGACCATTATTCACTTGCCGATGTTGGGGCTCGGCTTGAAGATGATCGATGGGCGGGGCGGGATGGTCCTCGAGCCGAGCAGCGACTCATTTTCTTTGGCCCTTTCCGGTTTTCTTGTTGCATAGGTTTTGTCGTCCACGATTCTTTTTTCAAGGCGGTTTTTCACGCGAATTTTTCCTTAATTTGTCATCAACATTGCGTAGGTATAAGTTGCAAAGTAAAGAAATACGGCTTATCCCACGAGCCACTACGAAATACCTTTTCCGGACCAGAACGTGAAGGAAATGCGATACCGGACTGTTAACGGGTGGATTTTTCCAGTAATCCCCTATCGCGCTTGGATAACGAAACACAAAAGAATTTTTATAGCATTTTACACAATTTTTAGAGGTCACATTTTATAAAAATGAGAACAAGTTTCGAAAAATTTTGATCTTGGGGTCAAAAAATACGAAGAATGGCCCAAAAAGCTCAAAATTTGAAAAATAATTTTATAACTTTCTACCAATTCAAACACACTAAAACAAAACTAACTAAAAACACTATAAAACTAACGCTTTATTGTTGGCAGGTCGGTAGGTATAGGCGGAAAACCAAAAATTAGTTTGCCCTCTGCAAAAACTCCCCCCCCCCCCGCGAATAGTTCAGTACCCGAAGCCCTTTTCGGGGTTTCCGGCTTTTGCAGAGGCTTTTCCTCGCTCTTTTTTTTACTATACAGCGCATTACTTAGCTTATGCATCGCCCTCCCCTCGGGCCACTTTCCCTGCCCCGTCTCAAAACGCGCCGCCAGACGCGCTGAAACCACCGGAACTTCTCGGGTTACCAGGTGGAAATGGACTTTCGGCGGCGAGCCCCCCGAAAAGCCGAAAAAATAAAACCACCATCCGGTGGGCCACCACCAATTCTTCATCTCGCTTTCTAAAGTTCACGCATTTGGCTGGGTTTTTTCACATTTTTGCACGAGCGGGGTTGGGATAGTGGCTTGGGGGTGTAAGGCGATCCGAGGCCATGAGGGCACATTTCCGGCTTCTCCAAAAGCCGAGGCAAGCACGTTTTTGGGACATTGGAGACGAGAATGATTGATTGACAATGTGGGGGGGAGTGAATGAGCGGTGTGTCCTGTTTATGACTAGTCCGGCCCGGGGCTATTGTGCTGGTAATGGCGGGGCTTGTCGAGCGATTAGCTGTTGATTGGTGGACCAGTAGAATAACAAGTAGAAGAAGCTTGAAAACCGGGCCTTTTAGGCATGGATTAAGGTTTTTCGACATATTTTTCTCGATCCCCGCTTTTTTTAAGAAATATTTTAGGCTATAGGACCCATAAAAACTATGCAAAGCCAAATTTCAAGGCTAAATTGTGTAAAATATAAACCGTGTTTTTTGGAAACGTTGATGCGCGTTTGTTTTTTGAGTAATTTGCCGACTCTTAGGTGTTTCCGGGTCAATTTCTAGGGATTTTTCATGATAAAATTATTAAAAAGTCGCGATTTAAACGAATTTTCCGTAAATCAAAAAATTCCCATACAGTACCTTGATTTTGCTAAAAATTTCGAGGTCGAAATCCGCCAAAGTCTAAGTGGGCCGGCCAAAAAAGTTTATTTTCCCCAAAACATTTTGTTTTTCTAGATACTTGGCAATTTTTCGCAAGGAAGTCAGTTTGTCGGAACTATCTGTCTTTTAGGCAGTATCCAGGGTTGGTCACAAAGGATCCGGTCCGCGGACGGTCCGCGGTCCGGTCCGGTCCGGATCGGTCCGAGTGGATCCGAGATTTCGGACCGGACCGGACCGGACCGGACCGGACCGGTCCGGTCCGGGCTGAACACAAAGGACATGATTCAGCTGCCAGATATGGAAAATTTTGTATGCAAAATACTACTCTCCAAGAATTTGACATATTTTTCCACATCTATGCTACTATCCGTCGCGTATATAGCCAAAAACTAATGGGAATCAGTAATTTTATACATTTTTGATTAAGCGAATTCCACATTTCGTCATTTTTTCGTACGCCACTCTTTGCAATCCGAATTTGCATGTTGCATTTCCGTTTCTCCTTGCAAATCAAAACCCCTCGTCCGCCACGGACGACAGGTCCGTCGGTCCGGTCCGGTCCGGTCCGGTCCGGATGGAAATTTCGGACCGGACCGACCCCCGGACCGGACCGGATCCGATTAGGATCCAGCGTGACCAACCCTGGCAGTATCTCTTTTTTCAGAAAATATTTAGTTTTTCAAAAGTAGGTTCGATTCTCACACATTAAAATATTGAGTTCCCAGCCCCTTTAATTCATCCGACTTCTTCACTAAAAGAGCGGCTTTTTGTTTGAAATACATGTCGAACGTTCGGCTCGAGAACTTATTCTCTTTTTTTGTAACAACTTGGTCCATCCATACCCCGGGCGAAGTTCCGCGCGGGTAGCCTGATTTGAATCAGCCGTCCGTCAGCAGAGCACATGCCGGCGACACCTTCCGGATAACAATGCCGTCTATTCAGCCTTTTTGCGCCGCTGGCCGTCCGCGCGGGGGTTTTATCCAATATATATCCGAGTCTAGGGGCTTGAAGCCGGATTGTGAGACGCCAAAAATAGGGTTACGCCGCCCGCCGTGTGAATAGGTGAGTGGTTAGGCACAGCTAGCGCAACAAGGGCAAATTCTCCGGGCAAGATATCTACTTTTGCAGGAGAGAGAGAGAGAGAGATCAGCGAGGCTTCTCCTCCCCCTCCTTTCCTAATCAAATCACCGTCGAGGGCCCAGGACCCCCGACGGGGCGATAGGGCCCACCTCCTTCCGCCCAACTTTTGCGAATCTCGACGACCCGGAGGGCCCGGCACACCACCCGCCCCGAGTGAGTTGTTAGGGTGGAATTGGATTATTTGGCTGGCGGGAGAACGAGGACTTCCCGAGAACTATTCCGGGGATTGTTTTTGGCCTTTTCCCAAATGGGCTCGGCTTGTTGTCTCCTGTTAAGGGATTTGGACAGCTAGCCAAGCGCAACCGATTATGCTACGAACATACGAAGCTGGCCGGTTTCGATAATTTTTCGCAATTTCCGGTTTTAATGCATATAATTTTTCCATGTGGATCAAAAATGCCTAATAAAGTGATAGTAAGTGTTTTAATAGCTTTTCCAGTAAATTGAATTATCTTTCATGTGGAAAAACTAACCGAAAAAATTTGAGAATTCTGCTTTTTTTGTTCGAAAATCGGGAATTTTGGTGAAAAAAAATCGCATTTTTGTTTTTTTATGAAAATTTGTAAAGCTTTTACATTTAGAAGGCTTTAAAAAAGGGTAACATTTGCTCTCTTTAGATTCAATTGGATCCTAAAAGAAAAATCCTCCCCCCCGATAATACAAAAGCACAAAAATAACATAGGCGATTCGGTTTCAGCTCAGAATAATGTGATGTAAACATAGGTTCTTTCGCATTATCGGGGGGGGGGCTAGTTAACTATTATTTTTGCTTATTTTGGACGATCAGCACCAGAAGGAGCATGAGGGCGAGGGTGCAGATGTCCCCAGGGCCCTCGACCGGCCCCACTATCCCCGTGGCCATAATTGCCCAATTTGGACACAAGGGCCCCGTTGGCTTTTTGTCTTTTCGGAGTGGGGTGGATGGGAGGGCGGAGAAAAGTTGGAAACGAGGGGTCGGACCAGGGTTTGCACACGAAATTTGGCAGGGTTCTGGTAGGAGGAGGGGCTTCCGGGCGGAGAATCAGACTATTCGATTTTATTCTTATTTCGTTTCTCTCTATCAAATCATTTCGTTGAATAAAAAATATTTTAACCTTGCGATATGCTAAAGATTTTTTTCGTATTTTTAGCTAGCTAGATTCTTAGCTTAAAAAAGAACGATATTTCGCTGGATTTTCCGAGATGAATCAAACCGCCTAACTAATTTTTCGGTGCTTTTGCATTAACGGGGGGGGGGTATGGAATTTTTTGTATTAGTCCGGAAATGCGTAGTTACGTAATAGCAATTCCTTAAGAGGGTTTTTACCAAAATTCAGCTATACAGGGTGTCCCAAAAAAAAGACCCCCCAAAAATTTGAGCCAGAGGGCACCTACGGAGCTGAAAATTTGCACAGAGGTAGCGAAGGCATATTTCTATGAACAAGGAAAGTTTCAGCCCGATCGGCCAGCGGGTTTTAAAGTTATAGCGAAAATACTTTTCATTTTTAATTTAATATGGGGATCTTTGAAATTTGCATCAAAGATATGCGTTATTCTTGCATTTACGAGCCGATTTTGCATAAATTTCGCTGAAAAGTGCCATTTTCTTGATGGAGCTTTTGGAAAACGATTGCTCATGTAGCGCGAAAATGATCAGCAGGGTGGCTTAAACTTCAGCGTACGTGCCAACATAAGCCCAAATCTAAACTTCGACACTGTTTTCGAGCTCGTCGAACTCGGTTTTCGGGCCGAAGAAGCTCAAATTGCCAAAATGTACAATAAGACGTGATTTGGATCGATAAAACAGTTGTTTTAACACTCTTTTTATTTTTCATACGCAATCGTTTTCCAAAAGCTCCATCAAGAAAATGGCACTTTTCAGCGAAATTTATGCAAAATCGGCTCGTAAATGCAAGAATAGCGCATATCTTTGATGCAAATTTCAAAGATCCCCATATTAAATTAAAAATGAAAAGTATTTTCGCTATAACTTTAAAACCCGCTGGCCGATCGGGCTGAAACTTTCCTTGTTCCTAGAAATATGCTTTCGCTACCTCTGTGCAAATTTTCAGCTCCGTAGGTGCCCTCTCGCTCAAATTTTTTGGGGGGGGGGGGTCTTTTTTTTTGGACACCCTGTATTTCAAGCGAGAAAACCACCTGAAAAAATGTTGAGTTCAAATTTTTTTTGTCTAAACTTCTATATTTACCAGATCCTACGGAAGCTCCCCCCCCCGATCATTGAAAAGATCCTTAATATTTTTCATAGCTATCTATAGCTATTTTTAAATCGAATTAAAATAAAAAAATATATGTCCTCGTCATTCCGATAAAACGGACCGTTTTTTGGCGGTGTTCACGCTTTCATGCTCTTTTTCTCTCGCCATCTACGGGGAGCAAGAGGCGGTGGCGAGCAAGGGGGCAGTAGCGAGGTGCTCGTGCTCGACTCCCCCCTTTTAATAGCCGAGCAGCAGCCCGAAAGAGGGGGTCGGCAGAAGAGGTGAGTATTTGTGCTTTCAGCTCGAATTGCCCTTGGCCGTAGAGAAAGAAAGGAAGAAGCCTTCAGGGGGATATAGAGGGGGCCAGGAGGGCAGAAGCACGGCAAAAGTAGGGCACATAGCCCTTACTCTCCCTCGGCTTTTCCCCCTATCAACTATTCCACGGCCACTACTCGGCACCGCCGCTAAACTTTCCCATTTTCCGACGCGGCTCGACCCCCTATGTAGAAGAGTTTTGTCCGTTTTTTACGGATTTTCGGGTTCTTTTGCATTATCGGGGGGGATGGGTTTTCTTGCAAATCCAGTTTGCTAGTGTTATTTCCGATTTTTAGGGACTGCCAGGAGCTTTGCAAGAGAGGGGAAAAAGAGGTTTTTTTTTAAATGGGGGGTAATAGGTGGTTTTTCATTATCGGGTGGGGGGGAGAATTTTTCTGAAACGCTAGTGGCCCAGAACTTTATAACAAGTTCGCCAGTTTTTTCAGGAAAATTTAGCCTTCCTCGAGCGAAAAATATCAAATCAAACTTGATTTTTCGTTTTTTCGGAAAATGCTTAAAAATTTGAATATGTTGTCGAAAAATCTATATTTTTTAATTTATTGAATTATTTTTAGGAATAGCGTAGAGATCCATTCTCCGTGTAAATTTCCAAAAATTGGATCGTAAAACAAACAATTATCCCTCTCCCCCCGATAATGCAAAAGAACCAATTTTGTCAGAGTTGGACCCATCATTTCCGGTCGTCTCTTTTTTTGGGATGTGCCTTGAAGGGATGCCCCTACCGGGGCGGGCCCCAGTTTTTCGGGGGGGATCTTGTTAATCCGGGGGGTAGAAGCCTTATCTCCCGGGGCGGTGGGTCCGTTTTTGCCCCGATTCCTATAATGCATTTTCTAATCCGGCTCTCCGGTATTGAGTCTAGAAATTTTATGGATGTACAACATCTTGGGGCCATCGGGTTTCGGGTTGTTTCCTGCGATTTTTTTGCTGCATTTTGCCAGATGGGACATCATTTTGCCATTTCGCGAGGGGCCGGGTTCTTTGGCTTTATCGGGGGGGGGTCGACATTTTTTTCATTGAAATATTCCTACATTGCTTTTTTGCTATTTATAACCGTAAAAAGTATCCATTCGAGTAAAAAAAGGTATAAAATATGAATTTTCATGCCGAAAATTTGGATTTGTGGTTTTTCAACCTTTTTTATACAGTTTCTGTATAACTAATTTTTATTAATCGACTTAAATATAAAAAATTTTCTTCGCCGCCTTGGACTCGTAGGAAAAAATAGCTCTCCCCGTTAATGCGAAAGAACCGGATCAGTTTATCCCTAGTAATTTCTGCTACGCTTTTCCCTGGTTTTACATATTTTAAATAGAATTTTAAACCCTAGAATTTTAATATTTGAACTTTATGATGGAAGTGGTAATTAAACAGATAATACAGTCCTTTAGCGCTATTAGCAAAAATCCCGGCTAGACATGCCCTTTTTCAGAGGCCTACATCCCCCGATTTTCCGCCAAAAAACAATGGACAGGTGAAAGGCCTTCTTACGAGGGGGGAATTGCTTGAAGGGGACAGAAGGCCCTCCTCTACCTGTTGAGGGAGGGTGGGCCCTCTGGCTTGGGGCCCTCTTTCGGAAGGGCCACGGCGGGCCCCCAACCACACAGCCACGGGGGGCAATAAAGGCCCTGGGGGCACACACTGCTCTGCTCTTGCTCTGCTCTGCACCCTCGCTCGCGACTCGATCATCCCGTCATCGCGTCGAGGCGGACGGGCTCACGGCATCCTCGGCTTCTATCAAATTCAGCGATTTTTGAGGCTGACACCTTCTGTTTTTCGATTTCGCCAAAATCCCGACAACCAACTTCCGCCAGGCAATCCCGACAGCCCAAATACCGACGTACCAAAATGCCGACGGGTCAAACCCCCTACCATCATAACCCCGACAGCCGAAATACCGACAAACCCGATCCCACAATCATAATCACCATAGCCCCAAAATACCGACAGCCATAATCGCGACAGTCAGAATACCGACAGGCCAAATTCCCGGTACGCCAAAGACACGACCGGCGAAAATGCCGACAGCCATAATGCGGAAGCCATAATCACGATGGCTCAAAATCCCGACAGTCAAAATTCCGATGGCTATAATGCCGACAACCAAAATGCCGACAGCCAGAATACCCACAATATGCAGCTATTTCCTTGTTGGGATTGTTGTTGTCGGGATTTCGCTCTATCGCGATCTTGTCCATGGTTGACTAGAGGAATTTTGCCCTGTCGGTATTTTGCCTTGTCGGCATTTTTAACTGTTGGGAATTCGGCCTCTCCGGATTTAGGCTTTGTAGGGATTTGTGCCTGTCGGGATTTTGGCCTCTCTAGATTTTGGCGTTCGGTATTTTGGCCTGGCGGGATTTTCCTTTCTTACCGAATTAAACCACTAAATTCCTATTTTTAAGACCAACCAATAGGTTCTCACCCGGAACCAGCGGATTTTAATTTCCCACCCCCTTCAGAACGAATAAAGCTGGACACGCTCAAATTTCTAGCAGCCAGACGCAAGACACGCGATGTGCTTTTGAGGATTGGATTCGAGGGCAATGGTTATTGAGGGGAGTGGCCCATCATAAGCCGTATGGATGAACGGGGGCCCACAAGTGCTTTTCCCCTTCCCATATGTTCCGCTTTTCGTCGAGTCGTGCTCAGTCTTCTCGGGTCCTTTAACGGGTGTCCCCTAATTGCCGGTTCCGGAAGTGCTGGGCAGGGGCTTCTGGAGGTGGAGTGGGGTTTCGAGTCACCAATCCGGGCCTGCTGCTTGTCTGGACTTTACTTTTGTGCCGTAGTTTTTGAAATGTCTATCTCACTCTCTTTCTCTTCCTCTCTCTCTCTCTCTCTCTCTCTCTCTCTCTCCTCTCTCTCTCTCTCTCGCTCTCTCTCTCACTCTCTCTCTCACTCTCTCACTCGTTCTCTCTCTCGCTCTCTCTCACTCGTTCTCTCTCGCCTCTCTCTCGCTCTCTCTCACTCGCTCTCTCTCTCACTCTCTCTCTCACTCTCTCTCCCTCGTCCTCTCTCGCCTCTCTCTCTCTCTCTCTCTCTCTCGTGGACAAAATTGTTTCAAAAGTTGCTGATCCTCCCATCTCATTCTCAACCTCATCCTCCCCTTTCAGGCCATCCGTGCCCCCTGATCTCGTCCTCTTTCCGGCCGTGATCATTGCCTGACGGTGCCCTTGTTGAGGATGCGGTGGTTAGCCGCCTTCGCCGCCCTGCTAGCCGCCGCCGTCTACACCGATGCCAAGTGAGCGGTTTCCAGTTTATTCTAACGGTTTTGAGCATGAATCCATGCTCCTTTCTCCTCTCTGATTTTGTCTTAGGCCAAAGAACACCAATAACAGCCGTGATAAACCTTCGGGCCCCGGAACCCGATTTGCATGCGGGCGACCAGCTAGGGGGGTTGGCGTCCTGGGCCCATGTTCCCACGCGCATTCAGAGTCCCGAAAAGTTTTGGTTTTCACGGGGGAGGGGGGGGAGCTCTAGAAAACGGCTCTGATTCTGAAGTGAGGGGAGCGCGAGAGAGAGAGAGAAGAGAGGGAGAGATGGGTGAGGGAGAGGGGGAGAGAGAGAGAGAAACTTTGGTACTTCTACTTGTGCAAAAAGGTATGTAAAGCTAGCCAGTAGCCTAGTAACCCGCTCAAAATAAATATGTCTGGCAAAGAAATCCACATTTTAGGGGATATTTAATGATTTCGGGGCAGCGAGCAGATTTTTTGGGAATTTAGGATTAGGAGGATTTTTCTAAACTCATCTTTCTTACATAAAATTTCCGATTTTCCTAAAATCCACAGCAAGTTTTAGTTGCTAGAAAGTTCCAAAAATTTTACAATTTTTGAAAAATCGAAAACTCGAAATTTTTGGGCATATTTCATACATTTTTGACCAAAAAGTAAAAATTCTTCGAAAAATTTATAGTTTTTTGGGAGATTTTTGTAGCAAAAATCATGTAAAATGCTGTAAAAATGGTGTGCTATATATGGCCGGATAAGATTACTGGAAAAAAATTGGTTCCACCCCCGTTAAAAGAAAAGAACCAAAAATTCCATTCCACTCCTGCCCCACAAAATTCGGCACTTCCGACTTTGGATATTTCGCGCGCGTCCCTTCCTAGGGCCACTAAACAGCGCTTAGAAATGCATAATTTGCGGGGTACTTGGCTGCCCCCTTTCTACGACTTTTTTTTGTGGTCGCCCTCCCCCCACGAAGAAGCCCATCCCATATTCAACCGGTTCTCACCACCGCCCTCTCTCCTGGGCGAAACAAAAAAAGTGGCCAAGGCCAAAAATTCATTGAGGGACCAAAAGTCGGTCTTTACGGTTGGTTAGGAAATTCCAGGGTGATTTCGTCAAGTTGGAAAAGTGGCAAAAATACACGGGTTACTTTCAGAATGTCGAAATTGAGATGAAAAGGTCTCGCGGAAAATCTTCCAAATACTTTGAAAAAACGTTTTAAGGTGCAGTTTTACCGTTTTTATCGAATTTCGATTCCTGGAAAATGATTGAAAATTTAGAACATTTTAAAGTCTCAAATTTTTGGGGACATTCTTGAATTCATTTAACATTATGGCCCGAGGTTTTAGTAATTTTTATCAACTTTCTAGACTCAAAACGATAAATCAAGGTTTGAATGAATTTTCTGTGTTTAATTATTGCCCCCCCCGCTAAGAGAACGGTACCGAAAGATTTAGTAGGGAGTCGAAAAACAGATTTCTTTTTTCAGGAAGCTCCGCGAGCAGGAGATCATCCAGCGAGCGTTGAAAGACTACGATTGGCGAGTGAGGCCCAGGGGGACAAATGAGAGTTGGCCAGGTTTGTGCTTGATTTTTAAAGTATGCTTTGATACTTTAGATACGGGCGGTCCGGTGATCGTGACGGTGAACATCTACCTCCGATCGATTTCCAAGATTGACGATGTCAACATGGAATACTCGGCGCAGTTTACGTTCAGGTTAGCTTTCTCACATTTCGGATTCACGGAATAGCTTTTTTACGTTTTTATTTCAGAGAAGAATGGACTGACAAGCGGTTGGCATACCGAAAATTCGCCGAAAACGATCCGGATATCCAGGTGGACAATCGTTTTGGTTTTAAACCTTTTTATCCAGATCCCTCCATTCGTCGTGTTAGCCACAAGTGAGCAAGCCGATCTCTCGCAACAGATCTGGATGCCCGATACGTTTTTCCAAAATGAAAAGTGGGTTTTTTAGCTTAGTTTCAACGTATTTCTACCTAATTTCTATAACTAATTACTCCTAGACGCAAACTTTGTTTTAAACTGTTTTTACTGTTCCTAAACGAAAACACCTTACAAATTTTGCTTAAAAATACAAAAATATCCATTTTCCGCGAAATATTCAATATTTTTCTACGTTTTCTAGATAGATAAAGCTTTCTTTGAGGAAGTTGGGTTTAGCTTTACTAGATTTTGTTCTTTAGAGAAGCGCGACGGCATCTTATCGACAAGCCGAACGTGCTGATTCGAATCCACGAGGATGGGTCGATCCTGTACAGCGTTCGCTTGAGCCTGGTCAGTTTCTAGCACGTAGCTAAAACTGGTTTTACAATTTAGGTTTCTAACCTGTTCAAAAATTCATTTTCCAGGTGCTCTCTTGCCCGATGTCGCTTGAATACTACCCGCTGGATCGGCAAGACTGCTTGATAGACCTCGCTTCATGTAAGTTTTCTAGACAAGAAGTCGCTTTGTTGCGAATCCCATTGTTTTCGGGACGCTTTGTCCAATTTACGGGGGAAATTGAAGCGGAAGTAACATGGCCGTAAACGAGAATTTCAGACGCCTACACGACCGATGATATCGAGTATGTGTGGAAGAGGGAGAATCCCATTCAACAGAAGCAGGGGCTAAGGTGAGTAGTATTTCCAGCATTCAATTTCAAGCAACAAAGCATTTCAACGTGCTGCAATTAGACGTTTTTAATTACGTCGTTTTGAAAGTAACCCGTTCACCACCCCCGATAACGCAAAAGAACCGAAAACCCGTGTAATCAGCATAATTCTTGTTTTAGACAATCGCTGCCCTCGTTCGAACTTGCCGACGTCACCACCGACTACTGCACCAGCCGAACAAATACAGGTAAATTCGAGGGAATGTGTCCGGGTGCTGCTTGGCCGCCGAGTTCAACGCGTCCAGACCCCTGTGTGGCCACCGCCTCCTAACACGTTTGGAGCATCAAACACATCATCACAAAATTCCCCCTAATGTGGCTGGCGATGAACATGTTCGCATATCTCCTGACCTTGGAATCGTTGGCTTGGAAAAAACCCTGTGTGCCAAAAGCTGGCGTCGACGATACGAGCATGGGGATGGTTGAGTGAGCACGAGCTTCTTCGGTTCTTTGGCATTATCGGGGGGACAACTTTTTAAGGATCCGATTTTTTCTAATAGAAGTAGAGGAATTGTTTTTATATTGATCTTTTTAGAACCATTTGTAAAGGTTAATATATATGAATTTTTATCAAAAAAACATCGATGTTTCGACGGAAAATGGCCGATTTTCCACCAAAACTTGGCTGAAGACATCCTTTACAAATTTTTTGGTTGCTTTTCAAATGAAAAGATAGATAAATTTGGCTAAAAACCGTATAAAAGGTTCTTTTGCATTATCGGGGGGATTTCTCCAGTAAGCCCGGAGTTTTGTCGAAACTACGGTATTTTTGCATTTTTTTTAATAAGAATAGGTATAGGGTCCCTAGATAAAAGCTAGGAATAGTTAAACCAATGTAGAAACATGTCCTCTATTATTTTGATTCGAAAACTATTTAACAAGAGCACATTTTTTTTGGAAACTTTGAATTTTGTCGAAAAAAAAATAATTATTTTTGGATTTTCAAGAAAGAATTTGTAAGATTTTTGCGTTTAGTGATAGTAAAACAATGCAAAAACACGTAATCTATAAAATAAATATCTTAAGCGCAACGCCCCCCCCCCAATGATGCCAAAGAACCAAAAAAGCTTTCAACCATCCCCCACCGTATCTTCCCCGCCACTTTGTCTGGCTATAACAATTCCCCCGGCTGTCCGCATGCGTTTGCGTGTCATTCCAGGCGCGTACAGCTGCTTGAGGACGATTCTGATGCTGCGCCGCGAGTTCTCCTACTATTTGCTGCAGGTTGGCAGCGTGTAAATTGCTAAAAACATTTTTCCAGCTGTACATCCCATCCTTCATGTTGGTCATCGTCAGCTGGGTGTCATTTTGGTTGGACAAGGACAGTGTGCCGGCACGGGTCACGTTGGGTACGGTAATTTGCGCGTTTTTTGACTGGTTACGCCGAGGTTTTCAAGGAGTTCAGGGCTACAATGCTTTGGAAAAAGCGTAAAATGCAATTTGGTAGTCTATTTTTCGCTTCTAGAAAATTATATTATTAGCCTTGGGGAAGTTCCTTTCGACAGTGGGGCCGACTTTTTCAAGGTGTTTCACCCTACAATTCTTTGGAAACGAAGAATTGGCAAAAATTACGAAAATCTGTAGAATTTTCTTGTCCAATTTTCGTGCCTAGTAGATGATCGTATTTACCTCGGATAGGCTAATTTCGGCGGTCGGCGGACATTTTCAAGGAGTTCAGGGCTACAATTCTTTAGAAACCTAAATTTTGTAAAATAGCGCAAAAACGTCGATTACTTTTTTGTGGCCCATTTTTCGCGTCGCTTTTGCGTCATTATTTGCCTTGGATGGGTTAATTTCGGAAGTACAGCCGACGTTTTCAAGGTGTTCAAGCCTTTTTGGAAAGTTAAAGGTAAAAAACCCTTTAAAAAATTGAGAATATTTTTGTTAAGCAAATTTTTGCCATTAGCAGGTTTTTTGAGCAATAATTCTAATAAATAAATTCTTAAGGTTTCCAAGCAATTTTCCCGTTTTTTAGGGGTCACCACACTTCTCACGATGACGACACAAAGTTCTGGCATCAACTCAAAATTGCCGCCGGTCAGCTACACAAAGGTGAGAAATTATATCTTTTAATTCACCGAATTCCCTGTAGGCCATCGACGTGTGGATCGGCGTCTGTCTGGCGTTCATCTTCGGCGCGCTGCTCGAGTTCGCGCTGGTCAATTATGCGGCGCGGAAAGATATGGTTCGCCATGGCCCGCGGATGGTCCAGAATCAGGATGGCGGGTATAGACCGTTACATGGCTCGCAGCAAAGGACCTCATTTTGTTGCAAGGTATGGATAGTTGGTGCTCAAAGGTGATCTGGAGCTTCAGATATTCGTGCGACGATACAAAGAACGATCAAAACGTATTGACGTCGTTAGTCGACTCGTCTTTCCAATTGGATATGCCTTTTTCAATGGTCAGTTTGGGGAGAGTTTCTGAAAACCGCGACACGCACCGCGGCATTGATTCGCGTTTTCGTGGCGTAACCGGTTAAGAAAATGTGAAGCGTGTCGCGGTGCAGCCAGATCCGTAGAAAAATCCATAGCTCGTTTCGACAGTTTTTCGGTGTTAGCCGCCCAGCAACTTTAAACAATTTTTTTTACAATTTTTTTGGTACTGGTCCGTTAGCGGGGGGAGGGGGGTTCAGTAATCCTGTAACAACAAGCCCTTTTAAGAACCCTTTAAACATCCTTAGCTCCTTAGCTCTAAAGAACCCAGAAAAAATATTCAAATTGACGAAAATCCAGGGCGTTTGGATGTAAAAAAGTAGGTAAATGACCGAAAATCGCCAAAATTTGAATTTTTGGAAAATGTTAGAGATTTTTTATAACTTTCTTGCAATCAAAAACTGCTAAAAACACTATAAAAATTATTATATGTTATCAACACTTATGCATAGGGCAAAAAATAGTGATAGAAAATGTCGAAAGCTAGCTTTACAACGCTTTTTTTAATGAATATTTTTGTTTTCGATACGATTTTTGATATTGCATTCTTTTCAGCTGTTATTAAAATGGTTAGTAGATTTTTTGACGCGCTATCGAATGCCGTCGAAAAAAAATCCCAGAAAAATTAGCGTAAATATCGAGATTTTTGACGATTTTATATTGAAAACGATTTGGGGAAACGCTAAGAAAGCAAATAAACCCAAAATAGCGCCCCCCCGCTAACAGATAAGTAATCCCATATTTTTCAGTGCTCTACTGGACGCTGTATCTGATGTGACGACAACACGATGGCCATGTTGATGCAGTGCTGTCCCTCCCTGTTGGCCTTGTCCCTCTTTTGTGCCTTCGTCTCGCGGCGCATGGAGTGCCATCTCTACCTATTACCCTAATGTTGCCAACAGCTCATCTGCATGATATTTTATACCCCCGTCGGGCTATTGTCCTGCTCTTCTCGCATCTCATTCTCCCCGTCACATGGATCTCATTCTCCCCTCCAATTTTACAGGCTCATACTCATGCGCACGGGTCGCCCTCGTGCTCAATCGGGAGTACAGGTAAGTATTTAGACTATTGACTTAATAGGAAGTATTTTAATAGTCTTATTCGCTAAATATCGCCAGATTTTAACTAGAAAAGTATCTGAAAATGTGAAAAATTCACAAAAAAAATCGAAATTTTGGGCAAAAACGCCATTTTTGGTCGAAAAGTCGATATTTTTGGGGGGGGGGGGTTTTAATCAAAAAATGTAAAATTTTTACGTTTAGGATTAGTAAAACAACTAAGATATTTGGAAAATTGGATAGATAAAAAATAAGATAAAATTTTGTTCCCCCCCCCCGATCATACAAAAGCACCTAAAATTCTAGTTACTACCTGATCCAATTATACATTCCTTGTATGATGTTGGTCGTCGTCTCATGGGTTTCCTTCTGGCTTGACAAGGTAAGCGTGTATTTTTGGCATAAAGCTTTTCTAATGTTTTTAGGACGCAGTCCCGGCTCGCGTTTCCCTCGGCGTCACCACGCTCCTCACCATGACCACCCAGTCTAGCGGTAAGTAATATTTTATCGTAGAATTACTGCTATGATTCCATATACACATAGTTACGTAATAGTAGGCATTTTTGGAGTATATTTAGTGCTATTTAGCTTTTTTTAAATGTAAAAATCTTTATAAAACGTTGAAAAAAGGCTATAAAAATTTGAATCCTGGCCGAAAAATAGCGATTTTGGAGTTTTTTACCCGAAATTTTTAATGTTTTTACTTCAGAAATAGCAAAGACTTGTTGAAAGACTTCCTTTAGCTATTTTAGAACCTTTGAACCGGCCTAAAGTACCCCCCCCCCCGATAATGTTCAAGTACCCCTTTTAAGGTATCAACTCCAAACTCCCGCCCGTTTCCTATATCAAGGTATGCCAGGGATTACGCAGAAAATCGTTTTTCCCCTAGGCGGTCGATGTGTGGATTGGCGTTTGTTTGGCGTTCATTTTTGGCGCCCTCCTCGAATACGCTGTGGTCAACTACTATGGGAGGAAAGAGTTCCTTAGAAAGGTCCGTTTTAAGAGAATTTTTGATTGCTAGAAAGTTATAAAAACTATCTGAACATTTTTTGAAAAGCAATTTTTAATTTTTTAGCCCAAAATCAAAAAATTTTCGATAATTTTTCTAATTTTTTATGAGCGTTTGTATCTACAAACTGTGTAAACTGCTATAAATAGGGTTTGTATTGGCTGGACCGTATGCTACGCTAAAAATTGCCCCCCGTTAAACGAGAAGAAACGAATACTAACGAATTCCACTCCAGGATCGGTTGAAAAAGACAAGAATCGATGACTGCGTTTGCCCGAGTGATCGACCGCCCCAGATGCGACTCGACCTTTCTGCTTACCGGTAACTACTTTAACTTATTTACGCGAAAGTGCATAAAATTACTCTAAAATCTCGTGTATAGTCCGGTATAATTCCCAACGTACCAATCCAAATGACACCCACAGGTGCGTAGGAGCCGGCGCACTGTAAAAGCTCTGTAAGGGAAAAAAGGTGGTTCTCAGGATCCCCAGCATATTCCTTTCAGTTAACCAGTTAAATTCAAAATAGTCGAAATTGCGAAAAAGCCACTCGCGAACGGAGATATTCGCAAAAACTCTAAAAACCGAAAGCACCTATTTACGGACTCGCAGTCCGCCTGACAACAAGCGTTGATAAAAATGATAAAAACAATATTTTCAGCAAATCACAGGGTTGCCTTTCGTTGGCGCGGCTTCGCGACTATATGGGCCGTAACGCCGATTTGTCGCGCCGCGTCGACCTGATCAGCCGAGTCTCCTTCCCCACGTCGTTTGTGTTATTCTTGGGTGAGTTTAAGCTTAATATCACGTAAAATATAATCTCAGTAAGATCACCTTTAAATTAACGACCTCTGAGAGTGATTGTACATTCATTCCAGTCTTCTACTACTTCCAATACGTAATGACGTCGAGGGAAGACCGCATTCGCCGCGTTCCATAAATAAGTCGAGCCAACCCACCGTCATCGAGACGATCACGACATTCCATTTCTCCCCTCATGGGTCCATACCATCTCTGTGTAGTTGAACTACGAAAAGTTTTAATATAATTAAGGATATTACAAAAGATACCGCCGCCATCTCCAATGCTCTCTTCGCATATCCAGTCACATTTTTCATTTTCTATTTTGTTGGTTCAGCATTTTCAGGGATTTTCGCTTTTGCTGAGTTTTTGTCACAACTTTTTTCATCCGTATTCAATTGATATTTGTGATAAGTTATGTGAGATTGCAATATTGATAAAAAAAATCGGAAAAGAAAAGTCAGTCAGAAATTACCGAGCACGGGGAGCTAGCAAAAAATACTTTTCCGACATTCCATATTAACGGGTGCGATTCCGCCCATTGTCAAAGTGAGCAACAGCCACTGGGGCTCTGTTGCCAAAGTGAGACCTTGTTGCCCAAATGAGCAGCAGCCTCTAGGGCGCTGTTGCCAAAGTGAAAATCCTGGTGCCAAAGTGAGCAGCAGCCACTGGTCAGTTGCCAAAGTGAAAATCCTGGTGCCAAAGTGAGCTGCAGCCTGTTTTTACCTTTGGGGCATGGGGATTTTGGTTTCCGGCTGCCCTTTCTTTTTTCCTTTCAATCTGTGACGGACTCGTCAAGCTTGGAAGAAGATGAAGCTTCATTCACAAGCTTCATGTTCAGCTTCGGATGGCAGTACGGGGAGCTACTATTGACGACAACGCCGTGTCTCTGAATTGCGAAAGCGCTGCCAGCTGGATCTATTTTTTCATCGTCTAATTGGCGACGTCAGAGCTTCAGACATCAAGCCTTTTGTAAATTTTCCGCGTTTTATAATATAAATTAATCGATATAATTAATGCTGAGAAGTAAAAGTGGTACCTACTGTCGTAGAGCCCTTCTTTGCTAGTTTGTTCCTCAAAATCTTATTACTTCGTTTTCTTTCCCTTCTACGGCTTGTATAAAAACGTGTATAAATTTCTCTATGCACTTAGGGGGTCTGATTGACTGGACGCTCCAAATGCCTTTAAGCTCGAGCCTCTGGAAGGAAGCTAAGCCTAGGCTAGGCTTGTCATACAAACGAGCTGAGCTTAGCTTGAGCCAGCTGCTGCGCACCAAAATACCCAGACCTCGTAAGAATTGGAAGAGTTGTGAGGTGAAGGGGGAAAGAGAGGGAGAAAAGAGTGGGGCCTCGTACCCTTAAAGGTGAAGTGCCAATTTCTCATATATATTGACGCCTTTCAGGTAATAATGGCTAGCCCTCGAACGCGTCGGGTGCTAAAGGACTTGCGCCCATTGAACGAAAATAACGTATGGATTTTCCCTAGAATTACACCGTCTTTTAGTACTGCTTCGAGTGCAACGCCAGCAATCCGCAATGGGTGTCCGTCTCCTACGGCATTTGGATTTGCCTCGAATGCTCCGGGCTGCACCGCGGTTTGGGTGTCCATTTGAGGTACTTCTTGGACGATGGTATCAACTGGTTTTTCTAGCTTTGTCCGTTCGGTCACCATGGACAAGTGGAAGGACAGCGAATTGGCCAAGATGAAGGTGGGCGCGAGGGTATTGTTGTCTGAGCAAAACGTCTTGTAGGCCGGCGGCAATCAGGCTTTTCGAGAATTTCTCGAGAGTCAGCCGGACTACGATCCGACTTGGTCGATGCAACAGAAGTACAACAGTCGAGCTGCTGCCTTGTTCCGGGATAAGGTATATTCGATGTTGATAGTTTTTGGGCTCGGTTTTGCGACGGGGTATAGATTTGACGAATGTTTATCGAACTATGAAATTGTTAGACCGTCGAATAAATATAGAATTTCGATTAATTACAGCACAAGGAAGGAGCTAAAAATGGGAAACTTTGACAAATACGCATTGTCTCTCACGCCATTCCAAATAGCTTCAAAATGTGCTAAAATTCAATCACTGCCTATGATCATTGTAAGATTAATTTTTCATTGTAAGACAAAAGCGACGCCTTTTTACCCAATTTACCCGGCTCAAATAGAGATATAAACAGAATTCTCTTCAGGTTACTACCGAATCGGAAGGACGTGATTGGTCCATTGCAACGTCTTCTGCCAGAAATTTTACACCTAACGCTGTTGCGGGCGGACTGCGATCTGGAGGTGGCGGTAAGACTTTTAGCAACCAATTCTTTGAAAATCATGACAGGTTCAAAACCGTCGTCGCAGAGCAGCTTGGGCCAATACTTTGGTGGTGGCTCCCAATCGAATGCGTACCAGTCTGGTGGCGGCGCGGGTGGAGTTGGTGATTCGTATTCGGGTGGCAGCGGATTGCAAAGGTTGCATTCTTTTAAGTATTTTAAGTTCTTTTAGTGATAATCGATATCAAGGGTTCGGGAACACTCCGGCTCAATCGAGCAGCGGTGGTGCGAAGAATTTCTCGGATTCTGGCGACTTATTGAATGGGGCCATGTCGGGGTTAAGCATGGTAGGTTTTTTATCTTTGTCAGGAGCGTTTGCATTATCCGGGTTGGGACCAATTTTTGTTAGCTAGTTAGTCGTCGAAAATGAACAAAAAAGGCAGAATTTTTGAATTTTAAAATCGTTAAAATCGTTTTTGTAACTTTCTAGAGGTCCAAAACTGCGAAAAACAGAGATATTCTATTCATCATTAACTATAGACGGACAAACAAAACTATCTCCCCACATGATGTGCAAGAACCCTTTTATCAACCGAAGAACCCACTGAATTTTTGTAACTTCACTTTTTTCAGGGCTGGTCGATGCTGTCCCGTGGCGCACAACAAGCCGCTTCGGTGGCCAAGGATCTCGGTTCGCAAGCAGCTCAGAAAGCCCAGGAGATCAGTGGTGATATGGTAAGTTTTATGCCTTTTTAAACTGGATAAGAATCAACTTTGCAGTCAAACCGTTCTTCGGTAGGTAGCGGTGTTGTTTCTGTCTCAATTTGTCGTGTTGTTATATTACGCTAGGATCGAATTTTACGATATTTTTAGGGGCAAAATAGCGGTACATACCTCTCCGGCGTGGCCTCCAAGGCGACTGAAATCGGTGGGAAGACGTGGGACGGCCTCTCGACCTTCGTCAAGTCGTCGTCGATTCAAGGGATTGCGAACATATTGCCAAAAACGTACGCTATTAAAATATTTTTTCATCAATTGTATTTTAGTGGTTATCAAGACATGAATAGCCCATCCGGTGATCCGAGCCATGCAGCTCAACAGAATGCCTACGGGTCAGTTTTTTCGACTTCCAAATCACCGAGTCGTAGCGGCCTATTTTCGGAATTTTTCAGCATTCAATAGTGCTTTCCAGGTTCGATAAGAATACGACTACTCGTGATGCTGCCCCCGTGCCAGAGGAGGACGATTTTTATGATGGTACGGCAGCATATTCATGCTTTTTAATAATTTTTCCTAGCTCCTTCCGAGCCGAAACCGAAGGCAGCGAAGCCGAAGCCGAAGGCTGCCCCTGTGGTAGTTTCGTTTCAAATATCGCCTAATTTTCTTTAGAACGAGCCGACGTCTTTGATCGATTTTGAAACGCCCGAAATCGCCCCGGGTTCTTCGGAGAGCAATACGATAGCGGCGGTTGGTTTTTTAGAAGTCTGTTAAAACTAAAGAAGTCCTATCGATACGTATATAGCGGAACACGATTTTTTTATTAATCGGAACATAAAAAACTTTACAAATTTTTATTAAAAAAATTCAAAAATGGAGATTATTTGAACAAAAATCACCGATTTTGATCAAAATTTCGGCCCGTCAGTAAGTTTTCAATAGATTTTTTGGTTAAAGATAGTTAAATTTTGCTAAAACCATCAAAATACTTCCTACAAGTTTATTAGGGATTTCTAGACCTGTGCAAAAAAAGAAATAGTTCCCCCGATAATGCCAAGGAACCAAATAGACAAATAAAATGTGTATTGTTAATTCTATAAAATTATTTTTAGTTCGAGAAAAGCATCAAGCGGACCAGCCCACGCCCAACCAAGCCCGAACCCAAGAAGGAGACGAAACAGAAGGGCTGGGACGATGACGCCTGGGATTTGCTGAACCAGTAAATTAACTCTTCCTTGATGCATCCCTAGTTCTCCGATTTTCTAGGCCCTTCTAACGAATTGTTTTAGTCACAAGACACCCCCAGTTCTTTCCCCGTGATATTCTACATGATGTGCTAGCCTCCCCCTCTCTCTCTCTCTGATAGTCGAATCCACTCTCTGTGATGGCGTTTTTTGGTTCTTTCGCGTTATCGGGAGGGGTGGGGACTAGCTTTTTGTATTCTAAACGATTGTTTAGTATTCCGAAACGTTATAAAAAAAATGTCGAAATTATCGATTTGTCGAGCAAACTGGCCGATTTTTTACCGAAATTCCGACTTTTCAAAACTTTTAAAATATTTTTTCTAGTTGAAATGGTTATTTTTTACCAAAAATACTATTAAGTTACTTGAAATTTCTAGAGTAATACAAAAAGTTCGCCCCCCCCCGGTTATGTGAAAGAAACCGTTTTTTCAATGTGCCAGCCTCGTCTTTTTCTTTCCTTCAATTCGCATTCCTAATGGTTTATTGGGCCCCCCGAGAAATTCCCGTCGTGATGCTGTGAAGTGAATTCTTGTGTCTGTCTGTACTCTACCAGTGTTTGAATGAAAAGGTATTATTGACCCGGTGGATCTCTTCGTTGGAGGCCGATATTGTCACCAGACAGCGTAGTATCGGAATTGCGGCAAGCTGATTTGCTCAAGGCACCACTTGGTGTGTCATTTTTCCGGCAAAGCTAACACACAATTATCGCCCGATGGGGACCCGGCGCCTCGGGCAATTAGGGGTTTTGGGAAGACGGTCCCCTACCGTACAGCAGCTCCTGGTCGGCGGCGTCTCCTGGGATCCGTAGACGGCGTCGTGTCGTCTGGGCAACAGATGTTCCCGGCGCTCAGGGTCCGCGCCGTCACCCACACCCAGCCACCAACTCCGAAAATTGGACGACGACGATCACCCCGAATTTTTCATGATTTTTGGGACGAGAAGGACGAACTGGGGTTTTATAGTATTCTTTTCTCTGGTTAATTTTTTTGGCTATTGTGTGTTATTCTAGGGTTCTTTCGCATTATCGGGGTTGGGGACGAAATGATTCTTTTTGTACGAGTCTAGGAATGCCTAGCAACTCAATATGAAGTATTTGGACATGGTTTTTATAGAAGAACCTTCAAACATTTTTTGAAACGTCGAAATTTTGATCGAAAATCTATTTTTTGTATGTTTTAAATATAATTTGTAAAGTTTTTAGTTTTAGTAATACTAAAAACAATTTAAAAAAGCTTTCGCTATTGATATTTAAAAATTAGATGCTAGGAAAAATTCTCGATTTTGAATTTTTTCGGTACGTTGTGATTTGACTGACTGACCAAATCTGGTGCGATAAAAGCTCAAAAAGCCCGGAACCCTTCGAAATAATGAAAAGTTATGCGTATTGAATTTCGGCGTAATGGCTTTAGGTGTAATTAATTGTCGTTATAATTTTAATAGGTCTTTTTAGCTATTTAATTTTTTTAGAAGACAACTCTCCCAGCTCACTCTACAAGCCATTTCCGCCTCCACCATTCAGACACTTCCCCGAGCCCCTGTTAGAGCCATCTGTTCTGATTAGTGTTTTCTCGCTAACGGCTGACAGCAGCTGATTAGCGGTGATCGTGGTTGATTCGTTCGAACCACTCCCTATTCTTCCGCCCCCAGTCGTTTGACGAAAGCCAATTCATCGAGGTGAATCGTAACCCCCAGCTAGCGGTTTCTCAATGCTCTACCATGTGGGACAGGTGGAAAAGATACTGCCTGTGCCCCAGCTGCACGACCCATTCCCGTCGTAATAATAATGATCTAGGGCTAAGGATCTGGCGGGGTTTGAGCGGGGCATTTTTACGCGTCTGCGGAAGTCGGATGCGTTTTTGTAGCCGTCTAGAAACCTAGAATTTTAGAAATCCTTGTTTTGAAAAAAAATTTCGAGTGAGAGTAACACTTATTATTTCAGGAATTTTCGATGGTTTAAACAATTCAATTACAGCGATGTCTTCGATGCCCAACCCTTATAATTCACGCAGCGCTTTTTTCGCTTTGTATCCCAAAAAAATCCCAAGATACTCCTAATCATGGAGTATGTCTTGCGCGATTTTTCACCATGTCTTACTTTCTCCCTTTTATGCCTTTTCGGGCGGTTATAAAAGATACACTAAAAAAGGTGCATGAACAATTGCGGCCCGTTATTTTTGACCAGGCAACTTCAATTTTAATTTTTGCGCTAATTTTTCGATACAAATCGACTACGCGTGTCCCAAAACAACATAAATAATTTGTAAACCCTATTTAAATTCCTCATATAATTTTTAAAAATTTATTAAAAAAAAAAATTTTTAAAAAAAAAAAAAATTTAAAAATTTTTTTTTAATTCTCTAGACTTATTTTCCTTCAACAAGTGCCGGGCAGCCCTAAAAAAGCGTAGAGGACGGCGTGGAAGAAGCCGCCCTTTGCGCCGTGATGACTGGCTGGGAAATGAGGGCCTGCCCATTTGACGTGCCCACCATTCTCCCACCGATTCATCGTCGGCTGACCCTCCGCGGATGCACTTTTTGTATCAGGCTAAAAAGTTAGCTTTATCTAGAAAATACGGACTTAGAATTCTTCCAGTACAAAAAATAATTCTTTGCCGGAGCTGGCTTTCGACGCTTGAAAAACTGTAAGGCTGGGCTTTTCCTCCACGAAAAATCGATAGTTTCGAAGTTTTTTAATAAAAATTTGCAAAGATCTCACGCTTAGGAATAGTAAAAACCGTTTAAAAAACAGTTACACTATTTATGAATTAGGTCCGAAGACCCCCCCCGATGATGCGAAAGAACCATCCGCGACACCTTTTCCTATTTTCACCCAAAAGATTCAATTTTAGGGTATTTTCTTGCGTATTAAACTGACCATCAAAATTACGTTACCGCCTAGTCGCCTTTTCATATGTTTCACAAAAAAAATAATTTTAGCGATTTTTTCACTTGTTTCTGATTCAACCAGGGCACCTTTGAGTTACATATTTTCCGATTTAGATTTTCGACACGGAAAAAGTGCAAAAGTGCTGCCCAACCTAGACGATCGACCAAGAAAGATCCCAATCCCATGGCCCCCGACACAAAGGAGGAGACTCGTGTTCGGTGCGTAAGGAAGGCGAAGGTTTTCGACATATTTTCCCGCCCGATCCTCAGCCGGCTGGCTGGCTGCCACCCCAGGAGGTGACCTTGTCCCGCGGCCCCGCAACGCCCTCACATCTTTCCGTCCAACATCCATCGGGAAAATCTATGCACCCGGGGCTTGTGTTTTTATGGCAGTCGATTTGCAGTATTTCTGGGGGCTCATATTGGCGACTAGGGGTTTCTACCAATTCCCTGGGGACCACCTCGGAAGTCTTATGGGACGGAAAGCAGCAAGTGACCGCGATATGGCGGGTTTGGAATCATCAGAAAGCGCTTTGTTGCTTGACAAGCTTTTTTCGAGGAGGGTCTGGTCGAGGAGAGCTTTTCTGGATAGCACCCAGAAATATCTAGCACCGTAATAGTAAGTATTCTGATGATGTTTTTAGTGAAAATTAGTTCTATTTCAAGTGTGAAAACTATCTAAAAACTTTCGAAAATTTAAATGTAGCTCCTGTTTACTTTCAGAAACCCTTCTACTACGATATTAAGGCGATTGAAAACTCAAGGAAAAAAAACCCTGTTTCCCCCTGATAAACCCGTCCCCCCGTTAATGCAAAAGAACCGGGGCTTAGGCTTAGGTCAGCGTCAACAAAGCAACCTATAGCGATAGCGACAACTTTTCAAACTTATGGATTAGTGTCTAGTTATATCGGTTTTAGGCCTACTTACCAGATCCAGACCTGAATTCCGGCCCTCTACTTGCTTGTGATTTTTTGAAGGCCAACCATACCATTACCACAAAGTTTTACTACCCTTGTAGTAGAGTCTGACTGCCGATGGGTTCCGTTGTGCACCTATCAACGGTCAGCGGAGCTTTACGAAACGTCCTTTGTGCACTATCGAGGGCATACAGGGTGGGCAAAAAAAAAAGCCCACAGTTTGGGTCGAAATAACTCGCGAACGGTAGAGAATCGAAGGTACGTTACCATGCCAGAATGCTTAAATATGCTGGGCATGAAGATTTAACACAACTTGATTTTTTTCGATTTTTGAGTACGAAACTGTACTATTGACGCTGGTTACGACCGAAAATTGTGCGTTCTTGAACCAGTGGTAGGAAAATTCTGATTTTTGGCCTAAAAATAGTATAAATTTATAGAAATGTAATGGCAAAATATTAGAATTTTTTGAGGTCAATTTCATTTTTTAAAAGCAAAACAATTTTCGCGAGTTTTCGTTATTTTTGTTCTTTGAGTCATAACTCGCTTATAACTCGCTGCCCATGGCTGATATTTTGTCAATGACCTATCCAAATATTAATCTCGGATTCCACACCAGATTCCACCACAATCTATGGTATTTTTGTATTGCTTGCTAAAACGTGCCCCAGTGGGGTACTGTAGGTTTCGTTTTTCCCACTTTTCTCGGGGCCCCTAGCTTCTATTCGGCTAAAATTTTTTGGGTTGTTAGGCAATAAGTAGTGGTACGTTGCTGCCAAATACGAGAGCGTACTATCCACAAACGTTCATGAAAAAGACTAAAAACTGACTTTTTAATTCTGCCACAGAATTTTGTAAATTTTTTGGTCAATTGGTCCATAAACTGCTACTATTGGTTTTACGAAAAGATCGAAGCGATTCCATGGCAAAAACACCACGAAAATCGCGAATTTCGGTTTTCTACAGTAACCCCCGTGGGGCGCGTTTTAGCATGCCATCACAAAATTCCATAAAGTGACGATTTTTCTATTCGAGGGCCTTCTAGAGATGATTGTAAGATAACCTGTTAAAAATTACTGATTTTGGGTGGTAAATAACAAAGTTACGAGGCCAAGTGCAAAACAAGGCCAGAGAGCCGATTTTGGGTCCGAGTAGCCGGGTCAATTTTCGAATT